TCGGACTGGCTTGCTTTTTCCGCCTGCAGTCGCTCGTCGAGTCCGGTTTCGGCGCCATGTCGCTGCTCTCCAAGCCATTTGCCCGTGATAAGAACAATGGCAGCTTAGCATGAAATTGAAAGCAACAACTGTGCTAACAAGAGTGTGCCGTGTTCTGCTGGCAAGCCACAAAAAGTCAGAAAGCTGCGACAAAAGACACAATTAGAACGCGTCGTCAACAATAGGCAGTAGCTGATATAGAAACACTTACATATATACAAGTATACCCGCCAACAGTTGACTGTTCAGTCAACACTCAATTAAATTGAATTACAAAGAAGACAACAACAAAAAAAAGTGCGCGCTCGTCCCAAATCGTATTCAGTTCGTCTCGAACTTCCCATCTGTGCAAAAGTTCTTACCTGAAACAGTGACTTAATCATTTCGATTCCTAAATTCGTACTATATTTCATTTTCTGTGCCATCTTTTGTGAATGCCACAATGCAGCGACCAGCGCATAATATCTCCAGCGACATCATGAGCCGCATGTCGGTCTTCGAAAGTGAGTGACACGGCGAGAGCTGAGAATTGTTTATGGACTCCGAGTGGCATTGGAAATGTTATTCGTTTACTTTCATTGTTTCACTGCCTTTTGAACTCTAGTCTAATCTTAATTCTTAAGCATGTCTTTTTTATTTTCTTGCGTCTAACACAAGGCGCTCAAAAACTTCCAAAATGTGCTGATGTGTGATAAATTTTTTGTGCGTAAAAGAAAGACTTCAGTGTAGAGGGAGAGTGGTTTTGGTTTTTGATTTTCAAACCACAAACAAGTTTATTTCTGAGCGGAAAGTTACAGAGTATTCAAAATAACGTTACGAGCTGAACAAATTTGAAATGTGCGTTGCGTTTTACGAGTCCGCTAGGTAATAGATTTCTCATGGAACTGAATTTAAAGCTTTGTTTTACTATTTAGTGGCAATACAATGAAATGATTTATGTTTGAAAAAGCAGTTTAGATCTGATTACAGATTTAGTTCAGAATTTAATGGGCATTCAACTCACTCGTCATATTCTCAATTAAGTGATCGCCTCTAACTTCAACCTGTTGGCACTACGAATAGGAATAAAGCAAAAATAGTTACTTATCCATTTGAAGAGAACAGCACAGAGGTCTACTTCGAAATTAATAAATAATTAAATATGCAAACTCTAGAAGAAACTGCTGCCAAATTTTCGAAATTGCTTTTTATTGTGTACTTGTATCGTTTTTCGCAAATCGAATTTAAATATAATGGGAATCTAATTTTAATAAGGAATACGAATGCGGACTATTAACTCATTTAAAAACAGTTTCAAAAAAGCTGCGCAAGTATGTTTTCCAACTCTTCTATAGAAAAGGCTGCCTAATTTTCAATAAATATGTATAAAAACATTTCTGAGAAACGTACGGTTAGCTGCATGTGAATGGCTGATTAAAAATTAATTAATTAACTGTTTGCTCTTTTTGTTCAATGCTCCTTCTCATTACATTTGTGTGAATTGAAGAACCGAAAAAAATGGTTTAGTTGATATATTACTAAGCTTGATGGCAAATTCTACATCTGTTTCTAATACTTTTGTGTTGAATTTAAAATTTGTTGGAAAACAAAATAACATTGAATTTTTAATTGTTTAATTCCTGCTTGAGATATATTCACCTCTAATATGAAAAACTTGTATAATAGCTTTATGGGTTATGGATTTAACAAATGTAAAGATTTCATTTCTAATATCTTAGAAGCAAACTTTATTCCTTTCAAATGTTGTTTGAATTCTTATTTATGTAAATTTTTCAACAATATAATTTTACATTACTTTTTCATAATTGCATTACTCTCTTTACTATAAAACAATATTTTTAGATGCTCTTAAGATCCGTTAATCAGTAGTTTTCAACAAAGTTAAAATTTGATTCAAGAGTCAATTAATTTTTCATACATCTGGCCAAGCAAAACAAAACAATTAACAATTAAGTCTTTCAAATTCTTTTCGTATTCAAAATATTTTCAAAAAATAATTTCATCTTTTATTTCTATAATAAACCTAAAATAAAATTGTAATAAACTTAAAATAATAATTATAATATTTTGAGTGTTTGAGGAGATATTGTTGAATTTGAATTTAAACCGAATTAACTTGACTGAAATGTAATTTGCTTTTAGTAGCATTCTTGTCATAACAAATTGCATTATTTGAATAGCAAATAACAACGATTTTGGTATGTGCTAGTGCTCTACTTTATGGTAGTTTGCAGATTTTCCATCATTTCTATAACAATTGTGTGCCATCATCAGCATAGCACTTGGCGTATCAAATTGCATTAGCGAAGCAGTTCAGAAGTTTAGTTTTTATGCGTAGTTTTCCGCGTTTTCCACGCACAGAGCAAAACTTTCATTTAGCCCCAAAGTATGTGCTTAATAATAAGTACATACTTAGTTAACCATGTGTATGACCAGTTTCCATAAATCATATATATACTTGTACTTATATACGAGTATGTTGTCTAGCATAAAAGCAAACATGAAATGAAATGTTGGTTTGATTTATGCATCGTCGTCGTATTGTCTCTTGTTTTGGGTGTGAGGGCATTCGGAGTTCAGCACCCCAGGCAGTTAGCCTGGTTGGGAGCTGGTTGTTGCTTGGCCAGTGCGTGATATGAAATGGAAAGAGAAAACAAATTGCATATAATTAGTTATGGGGGCCCTTATTGTTGTAATTTCACTTGCGTTTTAATTTCACACCAGCGGAAAACTGGACGCGGGCATACATACTCGTATGTGAGGCAATTAGCCCTAGGGGTGAAGGGGGGCTGAATCGGAGGCACATGGCACATGTTATTAACCCACATGGGTCGCACAATTTTCTAATATGGTGGTCGTTGCAAACGAATTGGATTGCTTGAATGAAAAGTGCTTCTTGTTGTTGACTATGGTTGGCACTGGGGCGTTGGAACTGCATGTCTGCATGTTCGATGCCTATTTTGGTCATAGAATGACAGACATTGTGTAAAAGAAAGAAAGAAACCGACTTTATATCGGACAATGCATGTTAAATGTAAACGTCGCCCTAATAGAGACAATCAATCAATATGATTTGCATGCGATTTCCGCTCAATTCACACAAACCTACCAGACTACACTGGCCATATAAAAGTATGTTCCCATTAGCATAATGCGAACGTTACAAGCTACCTCGCCAAAGGCTAAAGTTTAGTGTTAAGGTGATTAATAACAAGTTTCAATAATAAGCTTAATTTTCAATAAGTTGTGCAAATGATTGGCAAATACTCGCAGTTTGGAAAATTAGCTGCAGTTGTTGTTGCTATGAACTTTGTGAAGTGCTTTTCGATAACGATGTGTAGTTAAATTTAGTTAACAAGTCTGCAATAATGGGGCCAATGCCCTATACACTTGCCTATAATTGTATACGCACAGCAGTCAAATTGCCTTTTCTAAATGTTCCCTATAGAGTCCAGACTTGTAGATCTTTTACGAAATACTGCGCTACAGACTATGGCAGATTGTTTAAACAAAAAAAAGAGCTGCCATTTTATGGAAAATTTATGCTCGAATGTGCAAATAGTTACTGAAAATATTACATTAATTTAAATATTTATTACCAGCTCGCTTAGGTTTTTTGAAATGTCACTCATTAGTTGTAAGACTGATATTTTTATACATCTTTCACGAAATAATGAGCCCTCTTAAAGCTAAGACTAAGCAGAAGCAGAAGAATATGTGAAAATATAGAATACCATGTTTTTGGTTACTATATGAAGAATATCATCAAACATTCGTTTAAATGTTTTCAAATTTCATAAAATAAAAGCTTCCTGCTACATAAAAGGCAGGTTGAACGGGGTCATCAATTATTGAATAGTCAGAGTATGAGCTCTAGTGTAAGAAAAGATTAATTTTAATATGAAAGCCTACGATGTGAAAAACAAATTAATCTACTTGCTGAAACCAAAACCGAATTTCCTTACTTTTAAAGCTCAGTCTATATAAAATATGACTGTAAATTTAATAATAATACAATGATTTCAGCATTACTGTTGGGATTCGAGTTAGCACCTCAACTGCATTTGATTGGAAAAATACCAATACTTATACAAACTACTGTGCACCTGAGTTTGTTTATTTTAACGGCCTACCGTAGTCTGTCATCAACTAGTCTGCCATAGCAGTACTGAAGAAGAAAAGTTCAACGGCATTTTTGTGTCGGCCTTTATCTGATGCCTATTAATCTAGTTTAGTTCTTTCGCGTCCAATTCTTTGCAGACTGAACAAAAGGCGCCAAAAGCTCTGCCCAAATGGGTTAATATGACAAGCTGCCAAGACTGCTGAGACCGAGAAGTAAGGCAGCGAGCTTGTTGGGCCGAAGAGGTAGAACCTTACCGGTCGTTGGATGATTATTATGACGACTTAAGCTGCGTTCTCGCTGTCGGTTGATTATTTTTTTTATGGTTTACGGTTTATATTCTTCCAAACATTTTTTACCATGCCTCTTGAGCTGCTTCGTTTCTTTCTTCTGTGTTGTTTTTTTTACAACAAATTGACAATGACATGAATGAGAAATATTTAACCTTAATAAACGAAGACCAAGAAGGCGAAGACGAAGCCAGCGAAGAAGATAACGTCGCCACACATTTTGCTCGGCGCTTTTCTTTGGAAGCCGGTGTTTCTTTCTTTTTTGTACAGTTTTTTTTTTGTATATTGTTTGCATTGTTTGACTTTGCTGATTTATGTGACGGTGCCTTGTCATTGTGGCTGGTCAACAGAACATTGCAGAAGGCCAAGTGCCAATTAAACTTTGGCTCTCTTTACGGGCTACAAGTTGGACAATACCGGCCATGCTGCTTCTGACAGGGAAAGTTTAAGTGGTCGTCGTTCGGTTCGACACGTACTTAGTTGGGGCTTTTGTACTTTACATTGATTGTAAATTGTATACTTTAATTTCATGTATATGCACTTCATTGCAGATACCACCAGAACGCACAGCTCAGCGGACGAAAACACGGCCGGCGATATGATGTCCATGTCATCATCACCGCCTCCTACGCCGACTGGCGTGCAAACCGATGCCGAGGGTCTAATATTGCCAAAGAAACTGATAAATCCATGTCTGGAGAACACCGATCGCAAGGAATTGCATCGTGAGCTCAAGTTTAATAATCGCATGTAAGTGAAGGAAACATAATTTAAAAGAGTGCTCTCCACAAACGATTCTACAAAATATTAGCATCAGAAAAGCAGTCTTCATCGATAACTGATTGAAGATGAAAAGCAATGAATAATAGATAAAGAGTGGTTCGTCTTTCAGGAGACATGAGAAGGCGGAATTCTGTTTTTGGAGAGCGTACCCTATGAGTCCATAAATAACTAACTAATCACATCCTATTTCTCCCTTCAGTGGCAAGAGCGTCTTGAATCAGAAATCGGAACTACAGCGTGCCTATGATAAACAGAAGGAGCGTCATGCGGCCGCCGAGCAACATTCTCCAGAGCCTGATTTGGGAGCGGGACTTAAAGGCGAACTGGGACGTGTGATCATGGAGCGTGCACAAAAACACGAGGCAGCGGCACAAAAACAAAATGCCGATGTGGACGACGAGCGGCAATATGTTAATCCCGAGTATTTGAATGTGCGCGCCAAACTGCGCACTGCGCATGCGCCCAATTAAGGCGCCCAACTGGGGGCGCAAAACCGAATATTTAACTTTAATTGACCTAACCAAATCGTGTTTTATTACTTACGTTGTGTTTGTTTAAAATGTTACTTTCTAACTACCGCTTAGTGTTTAATTGTGCTAACAACAACAAGAACAACCACAAAAACCACAAAGAGTTATGATATTATGCGTATGTTAATCTTAAATAATTATTACTATTATAATATAGGTTAAGATATTTAGTTTTTTGTTATGTGCTGACGATATTTTTGTGTGTGTAGTATGTATAAAAAGTGTATAAAGTTCGATTTAGTTTTAAAATTTCTCTTCCAAACCTTTTGGCTGAATATACATAGGTGTATGTATATTTATGTATATTTAGTGCGTAGTCATGTAAAGCGAAACAGGGCAGATCAGAGGAAAAATTTAATAATAATTACGACAAAATTGGAAATGTTTAAGATTAAAGTTAAGTCGAGAGACAGAGAGAGAGAGAGATAAAAAAAAATGATTATATACTTACCATATAGATGCAACTATTTTATGTCAAGCGATTGCGATAATTACCAACTATAACAAACCAGAAGCGAAATCACAGAACTATATATACAATATATATCTATATACAACTTAGTTTCTGAAATAATAAATTTTATTGTAGCAAAAAGTTAACCATAAGTTGGACTCACTGGGAAAGGTTAGTTTCGTCTCAATTTTATTTACACGAGTATAGACTATGGAGTATCATTTAATGTTTCTACTTTTTGTCCTTACCCTTACCTTTGCCCTTAGCTTTGTCCTTACCCTTGCCCTTTTTGGGACCAGCCAGCAAAGATTCAGCCAACTGTCAAAGATATTAATTTACATGAAAAGGAATGATTAGGATTTTAGCTTGGTAGACCCACCTTGGCCACCCGGGCTATTTCAGCGGCTTCCTCCATTGCTATCAATTCACGCACATGCGCGATTTTCTCGTGGAACACCTTTATCTGTTCCTTGTAGAACTTGAGATCGTCTTTGGCTTTTTGCAATTTGTTGCGCGTGATTTGAACATTGTTCTCAGCCGTTTCAAGATCGACATCATACGTCATTTGTGTTTCGTAGATGCGATTCTTATATTCCTCAATGGTGGCATAATACTTTTGGTTGCTACACTGGAACACATAGTTTTCCTCCTTGATTAGTTTCGTAACGTTATTGAGCTCATCGAGCAAGAGTTGGCATTGCTGATCGTCACTATAGTTGACCTGCTCCATGGTGCTGTACGTCCAGTTGACGAGATAGCGCCGCTCAATCGGATCATAATAATCCTGTTGCACCTGTAGAGCCTTGAGGTTGCGACGTTTCTGGTCGGCTTGGGCACTCCGTTGGCCGCTCTTATACTGGAAGAGGTCTAGCGTCATCTCGTCGTGTTCGTGAAGCAGCTTGGCGCGCGGTCTATTCAAAACCTCTTCTATATCAATCTTTGTATCGCTGTGGAATCAGATGCTCTTTACTAGATTAGGATTTGAAAGTTGTAGCGATGGGGCTTACAGCATATCGGACATAGAATAGCGACACAGATCGCGATTATTTTTAATATCCACGAGTATGGAGTCTATTAACCGTAGCACCTCATCCAAGTCCATACGAAACTTTAAACACTCCATTTCGGCGTTGGACAGCTCCATTTCCATAACGTCGATGTACAGCGTATTGGGCTGCTCGAAGCGACGGAAATAATCTTCGACAGACCAGCCGAACATGCGATAGGGCAGCACCGATGGATCTCCCGGCCACATTTCACGCAGCACCACCATGCGAAATTTTAATTGCTCCAGCTGGAAATTAATGCACACCCTACGCATATCTTGTATCAGATCGTCGTAGCGAATTTGTAGTATATCCATAATGTCGAGGGCAGCCGCCTTGGCTTCCTCCGAAATGACTTTCTTGTGCTTCTTGGGGTCAGAGTCCGAGTCTTCATCGTGCATCTCCATCTCACGAAAGAGTATTTCTTCCACGGTCATGTTTCCTGTCGCGCCTTTAAGTGAGGAACCATGCACTCGCCTAACGACTCTCTCCACCTCTTCGACTATCTTTTCGTATGGCTTGACCGCGTCCGCCAAATACTCATCGCGGCACTTGCTTGGATCCACTTTTGAAGACATTGGAAACAAATTATCCACATCGAGCACCATTTTGCGCTTAATTGTTAGACGAGGGGCCTCCCCTTCTTCGGCTAGTCTTTCATCCATCGTGGCAAAGATTTGGACAATGTTTTTGTATGTATTCTTAAATATTTCAATGTAATTTTGTATGACACGAGCTGATAAGCACGACCATATGGAAGTTTGTAATCACTACACATACAAAAGCTGGAGCCATCAAAGCAGCTTTATCTAATGCTGCCTTTTTTTCTGACTACTCAACGCAGTCAATTCCAATCTGTTCTATTGTGAAAAGTTGAAGAAAAATATAAAATTAAATAAAATAAAGTTATAAAAAATGTGGTGTAACAATGGTATACATCCAGAATTGAGCGAGCCACCAAATATAGATGCTGCCGAATCCCAGTTAAATCACGTTATTGGCGACGAAAGCGGAGATGGGCCACCACCCCAGTGCGTGCAGGTAAATGTAGAGCCCATAGAACAGGGAACGGGATGATTTCTCAAGTCGTTTTGATCCGTTAGCGCAAGACTTCTGGCCTGTTGGCATGCGTAACACCACGTCTGCTAAGTGCTAATAGCTTTGGAGGTCCTGCTCGCAGGAGCATTGCACAACGACGTCCTGTAAGTACAGTTTCAAAAAGACTATTCTTCTATGATTCTATTCGCTGATTTTGATTGACTTTTAGTTTGATTTATTTATTTGCGTTTTGTTAGTATAAGGTACCGACTAAAATAATAAATACATATGAAGGAATCTTGAGAACAAAGTAATCGCAGGCGTTATTAGACCTACATTACAAAGAAGAATTCTAAATTCAGAATTACGAGCCAAGCTGGCAAGCTATGCCACGGCTCATAGTGCTGGTGTCGGGAGGAAAGATAGTTCACAGTTCTTATATCCTATATGTTACAGGAATAAGGGTATATACTATTAGGTTTATCTACGCAGTACGAGTGCATTTTAAAAGTATCCTTCTGCCTCCTATTCCTACGCTATTATTACTCCGTCTAGAACTAAATTCATGAAACATTTCTAAACCAGAAGTGGCCTTAGGAGTCTACAGGACTCTCATAGTTTTTGGAATTGGTTAGGATTGTTTTTAAATCTTGCAACGATATGTCCGATATTCACAATTCATATTACTGCACTTCAAAATCAGCGTTGACAGAAAAAGTGCTTTAGTAGTTTGTGAAGAAATTAACGCTCCTCTATGCAGGGACTATCTCGCGCAACAGAAGATATTTGGCACTCCTCTCCAAACGTGCAGCTAAATGAGATTCCAAGCACGAGCTCTGCAGCTTTTCCAACTCCATTACCCTACAACGAGCAGCTGGTATGTTGCTTCATGAAAACATAATGAAAATGCTTTCAATAATATCAATGTATAGAACCCAGGTCGAAACGTATTGGCCGATTCTACCATGTGCAGTCAGTTAGCCCAAGCTAATGGAATACCATCGGTTGCCGCAGAGATCCATCGGGCATTTAATAATGCCCAACAGCTGCTGGCGGAACTAGAGAACCGTCAGCTGCCGTTCTATAGCGGTGGGTTGTCCAGTCAATCAAATACTGGACATGGATTGTCCCTGTCTAGGGTGAACTTAGTCTCTCGGCTGGAACACCAAATGCACTCCATATTGTTGGACACCACACACATACTAAGCGACGCTGCCACCAGTCGACGACTTCACCCAATTGGTCAGTCGACAATGTCTCTCTCACAAAATTATTCCAGCTTCTATTTACCACTTTATTTGAGGGATCTAGGTAGTTCAACTGTTCAAAATGTAAGTTCGATGGGTTATTCGCCGTCCCACAATCCAAACTCACGAAATCTGGCTCATTATGGCTATGATCCGGCCAGGCCTCCCAACCCAATAAGCAATGACTTCAATAGCGATTGGACAAGCGATTATGTGAACCATCGCTTGGTTCCCCCATCGCCCACCGAGGAATCTAATTACTATCCAGCTGGTGGTGGCATAAGCAATTACCCTTCCGAGGCGCCCATCTTGGGGTCACATTATTATGAGCGCCCTGAGGAGCTCTCGATGGAAACTGTACCGAGTACTGGTCCGAATGGACCACAGCAGAATCCTCCACCGATAGAGGAGGCTGAACAACCACCCCTACCCTTTCAGTACTATTGGAACAATGTTGCTCCAGGCGCTAATTTGGAAAATGTATCACAAAACGACAATATCGGCAACATCGACAACAATAACAACTTTGTAACCCAATAATACAAGTATTCGAAAGTAACATAAACATGTATTTTTGAATTGGTTTTCAAATGTAAATTATGCTCGTAATGTCCCGGAAAAGCAACTTAAATTATTTGTGAAAACACACACTCACATAAAAACTGAAAAAAAAAAAAGAAAAACTCACATATTTGTGTTTATTCAAACATATGTACATATACATATATGTATGTATAAATGTCTGGGGATATGCACTATTTTGCTGGCCCCTTTATTTGTGTTTGTGTTTGTGTCTGTGACTGACATGAGAACCAACTCTTATCTCTATGCTGAAGTACAAAAGCTAGTCGTGTGCCCAATTCCAAGATATGAGGTACTTGGGAATGAAGTTACATGTTTGTATGTATTACGTTAGTGCGCAAAAGTATTGTTACATAATAAGGTATAGTAAAAGAAATAATTTAAATCAATTATGGATTTTTTAAACTAGTACAGTATGTCATGCACAAAAGCTTAATTTCCACTATGAAATATATATATATATGTCTACTATTAAAAAAAAGTATATGTATAATGTAATAATTCTTTATTATGGAGCTTTTCCTGTTCAATGTTTTAAAAATAAAATAAATTAGTCTATGTACATATGGGTTACCGTGAGAAATCAAGAATAAATGGCATGTACATAAAGCAATTTAAGTAACTATTGCAGCTCTAAAGTTAATAAAGAAATAATGTGCAGGTAATTGTCTATCGATGGTATATTATAACTAGAGAAACTACTTTTTATTAATATTATTATACCGTTCACAGGTGTTTCATCTTGCAATATTAATATTAGAATCTTAAAATCTTACTCTTAAAAAATTAATAACTTTAAAACAATGTTCCATTTAGCCTGTCACAATACTTTTGCTTCGCACTATGTCACTCTTTATCGCAAATGTTTATATGTATGTAAGTATGTGGATATGTAAGTAAGCGTATACACTGGTCGGCACAATTATTTTGACGAGAAGAAAATCATACATTTTTGTCAATAACTGGTTATTGGTTTAAGATATCAAAGGAAATTTTTTTTCTCAATTCCATATTGGTATTACAAACTTAAAAATAATTCAAAGGATATATTTTTATAAGGACTTTTAAAATTATAAATCAAGGTAATTTTCATGGGTTGGCATAAGTATTTTGACAATGGATATTAACAAAAAAAACAAAGCTTAATACTAAACAAAACATAAGAAATTGATGGTAGATTAATAAAATGTATACCCGCCTTTGGCTTCGATAACTTTTTGAAGACGTCTTGGAACTGAGTCCACTAAATTTTGAAGGACCTCTAATGGTATCTCTTTCCAAAGAGAAGTGACCTCGGAAATAGTTTCTTCTTCGGTTTTATGCAAAGACGCATTTCTTTTACGTTTTACAAGAGACCACACATTCTCAATAACGTTTAAGTCCGGACTTTGTGGTGGCCAATCCAGAGTAGTAACACCAACATCGGTTAAAAATGCTCTTATCATTTTGCTTTTGTGGCATGGGGCGTTATCCTGTTGCAGGATAAATGATTCTCCAATCAGCCTGTCACCGGAAGGGAATGCGTTTTCGTTAAGGGTACTCAAATATTGTTGCTGGTTCATTGAGCCGGTGATGGGAACGAAATCACCTAACCCATTGTACGCAATGCATCCCCAGAACATGACTGAGCCTCCGCCATGGCTCACTTTTTGACATACGGGGATATTTTTTTGTCTTTGAAACTGTGGGAGCCTTACAAAAATCTTTGTTTTTGATGAATTGTATTCAAAGGAGCTTTCATCTGTCCATAGAACGCTTCTCCAAAACTCTTTTGGCTTATGCAGATGCTCCTTTGCAAAAGCCAATCTTTTGAGCTTGTTCACCTTTGATATGTAAGGTATGTCCTTCGCTTTGTATGTCTTAAAATCTACTTCTTTTAGGCGTCGCCGAACAGTACGCTCACTGATTGGAGTCTTGGTCGACTTATTCCATTGATCTGCAGCAGCTTGCGGCTTTAAATGAATATTTTTTTTAAATTCCCGCAATAGGACTCGATCTTCAATGGGTGTTGTTTTGCGGTTAGCACCTGATCTAGGCAAGTTTTTGACGTGATTGTGGGTCTTATATTTGTTAATTTGATAGTGGACTGTTTGCCGCGACAAATTATATTCATTTGCAATGTCTTTTGGTGCTACGCCGGCATTAAACTTCGCCACTATTGAGGCTCTAACAACATAACTTAATTCTGTCTTTTTTACCATTGTATCGATTACTTTTGAATCAAATTTTAATGAAAATAATGTAAAAAGGTCAACAAAAATTGTTACACCAAAGTTATTTTAGTATCACTTGATAAAACGTACGCGAAAACGGCGACAAAGATTTGGTCAAAATACTTATGCCGTGCCTGAATCCGCAGTCAACTCACATTGTCATTTGTAGAAAGAAGGTGTGAAGAGTAATAGGCAAAATATTTTGCCTACATATTGTTGTTGCTATGAACTCTATATCCCGTATGAAAATTGTACCGTTATTCCTTGAAACTAAAAGCAACCAGCACCGATAGTCGTGAGTACAGTTCGTCAAAATAATTGTGCCGACCAGTGTACGTAATTATGCATTGCTGGCAACACCAAAATGTCTAACAACAACAACAACTAGAGGAGCGCACATTAAGCAACGGTAACATAGCATTAATTGTTGCCTAGTTGCTGCGTCTGGCCTTTAGTCGAAGTTAATTTAACTGCTGCTTTCATTACACAAACCTCTCGCCACCTGCACAACGTACGCGTTGTCAGTCAATCAAGAGCAGCAGCAGCCACAACAACAACACCAACGACGACAATAACAAGAGCACCTACTACAGGTAGCAAGCATGCAGCTGACTAACTGTGAATTTAACACAGTTGGATAGCCGTTTGTTTGTTTTTTGTGTACTACTAGTGCTGATGGAGACACTGCAAAAGACGAAAACAAGCAAGTAAGCATAAAACAACAACAATTGCGCCAACTCCCCCACAGCCATACCAACGAACATGCGCGGCACTCTCTACATCTCCACCGCTCTTTTTCTCTTTCTCATTCTCACGCGCAAGTTTTTCGGCGCTCGTTTGTCTGTGGGGCCACCTCTCTGTGTTGCTGTGGTTGTTGTTGTTGCTGCTGTGACGTAGGCGCCCCTCTATTGTGGGGCTACACATGCACACGCACACACACACACACACATAGACTGTGCTTATTTGCTGTTGCTTTGTTTTTGTCTTTCGGCGCGTCGCTTGCTTTTTCAGTTTGCGCGCCTGGTCGCAAGTATCATGTAGAGGGACCTGCCTCAATGCTGCGCGTTGACTTTTAGGGAGCCTACAAATAAAAATTTGTGTCGCACTCGTGCTTTTTTATCTGCTTCTTTTTTCTCCGTCTTTTGTTTTGAAGTTGGGGCTGCAAGTAGGAGACATTTCGGATGCTGGTTGGCTGCTGATGCTGTCTGTTCTCAACTTATAGCGCCTGCGTAGGGCACGACGTTGCCGCCTCCTCACAGCATTTATCCATGCACACATACATACATATGAATGTACATACGTGTATATTTATTTTTGTTGTATCTGTATACTCTGTATAAAGAGTACATCTTCGTGCCCAAATCAAGGCTGTTCCCATTTTCGTACCATAGAATTCGGTCTAATAAATTCATATAAAATTCATCCAAGTTGTACAAATTTAAGCTATCCAATCGCCTATAAACTAACTTCGTTTGTAATATCTCCCAAATCTTTGGAATAACGAGTTTTTAAACATTTTTAATACATTTATTAATGTTTTGTGGAGTACGGAGTATTTAACTGTCGGGCATACAGTCTCTAACATCCCCTCTTGCTTGTTTTTATTGTTTTGTGACTTACGCAAGCGCCGCTTTTTGCAGCTTTGTCGCTTGCAGCTTTGTCCACCATTTTTGAATAAGCTGTAGTTTGTTATGAAGCAAACAGAATGAGGCGCAGCGCGGATGCTGCAGACAACCTGAGAGAACCCGAGAAACAATTGTGGCTAGTGGCTTGTGGGTGGTTGAGTGGTTGCTGCAGCTGCGACCTTCACGTTTGACATTGCAGCTGCGACTTTACCGGCTGCCGATCGAAGGGCAATCATAAAGTTGAAGCAGCAGCTTTACGGAAATGTTCCAAAAATTCTGTTTCTGTGGAGCTTCGTTTCTTTTTTTAATGTTTTGTTGCCCCCCCGACAACGAACCCGGCTATACCGTTAGTCGACAGCAACAACAATGGCGCTGATGAGCTAGGGATGTGCAATGGAATTGTTCGTTTGTCACGCTGTCAATAAAGTTTTTATGTCACTTAGAGAAATGTTATAGAAATCGGTTGAAGGAACAACCATAATAAAAAGGGCAAATAAAAATACCGAAATAAATGTCTTTCATTAGGAAGATTTACTGATTTATAGAATGAAGCTACGCTGAATGGAATTAAGATAGTAAGGCGTGCTAATTATGTGCCCGGATGAATTCGAATTATTAAAAACAGATAGGGTTTTTATCTATTTATGGAGGTGGATGGTTCACAAATTTTCGAAATGCATTGTTGAAGCCACCTAAATAAATAAATCGACAGAAATAGTTGTTTATTTAATGTGTTGTAGAAATTTACGAATCTTTAAGGACTAGAAATAACTTTATCTGTTAGATTTCGTTAGCATCTATAAAAGTACAAATGAAAGCTTTTGAAGAGGGGAACTACTCATATTAGTTTTAAGCAATTTCATTCAAATGTTAAAGTATGTAGTAGGAATCGCATCCACCTACTGGAGCATCCGTACTATAAGGACAGTTCGCAGAGGGGATTTTTATTAATGTTAAATGTCACACTCACTATTGTATACGTGACACACAATTGTAACCGCACTGCCCATCTCTATTATGAGCCACTGTCGTCACTTTGCACGGCTCTGCATAATTTATCAGTTTTGATAAATTTGGCACATACATATGTATGTATATACATATTTGTGAGTGTGTGTGTGTTAGTGTTTTGAGTGGTTCCACTTGCCCGGCCGCTGGTTGGTTGGCTGTCTTCGTTTGTTGCTATTTGCTGTGCACTTGTTAGCGAAACCGCAGCAATGGCTGACAATGGCAACGCGCAGTCGGACGTACTGTGTGTAACAGTAATGGGCGGCTGCAGGGCGTCGCTGGGCAGTTTCCGTTAAGCCGGCGAGTGGCTACGAAGTTGCGCCATCTGATAGACAGCTGTCTCTGGTTACGTCAGTCAAAATGACGCATCGTGTTTTGGTAACAGGAAAGCATAAAAATCAACAGCCGACGACGACGGCAGCGCGACCAAAGCTGGAGCAGACCAAAGCAAAGAGTCGCACACAAAAGAAAGAAAATCATCAGCAGGCAGGCAGGCAGGCACACACGAAACAAAAGAACACACACACACATCCACACACACACACACACTCGTAACGCTGTAAAAGCCAACAACACGACAGAAACAACAACCACAACAAGCTTCACACACTCGCAGACAAAATGCGCGCATTGCACGTTTCATTTGGTTCTTGGCTGAATGAGGCGCCCGGTACTGTCCATGACGCCCCCGCAACGCCACAACAACAACAGCAATGGAAACTTGGCGCCAAGCATGCTAAAAATGAATTCGCCCCAGCTTTATGTACTTTTTCCGCCCCCAATACGGTGCCAAATAAAAATACGTAGTACATCCCCTTTGCTTGCAGTGCGACTCCCGGCGACGTAATTAAGCTAAGTGCAGGCAGTCTGGCAGTGGAAGCCTGCCAGTGCCTGTGCCTGTACCTGAGCCTGAGCCAGAGCCTGTCTCATTGGCACCGCAGGCTCAAGGATACTACAGAGAGTTCTGCTGCGCCAACTCATAATTGCATTGCCTATGCCCCAATCGCGAGTGCCCCTTTCAAAAGCAAATGTGCGAAACTCAGTCGCAGTGCAATATTTATTTTCCAGCACACTGGCACAAAAGTCAATCCGCATCCTATTCAATTCTGTGGAATCGAAATTAATAATTGGCTTGAACAGTTTTTCTTCGATAAAAAATACTGATTTATATATATATATATAACTCTATCTTTTCTGGATATAATATATAATACATTTATATTCTGCACATTTCATTGTGAAAAACAGAAAATGGAACAGGCGAAATTGTTCTTTTTAATTTGAAGTTAGGTGAGTAACGAATATTTCTCAATGAGTTATAAAAGTTATAATTACAAAAAATGTTAAAATACATAGATATGAACACTGAAAACAAGAAAGAAAACATATGTGCATTCGCAGTAAACTAGTAAATCCTTTTACCCTTTGCTAACGGGGTATAATTAGAATAATTATAATCAAAAACGGTCTTAAATTAAACATAATTAATCTTTGTATAAGTTCTTAGCATTTGTTGCTACATATTTTTCAATAAAAAAAAAGACAATTCTTTTAAAATATAAACGCGATTTTAGTTTTTGTGCATTTTACTAGAACATTTTTCTGAGCGTTGCTTTACTTTTTTAGTTAAAATTTAAAGTTATTTTCAAAACTTCTTCTGTTTTATGATATCTACGGAAAAGCCATACTTAAAATTTAAAAAAGTTTTCTTATTTTAGAACCGTTTATTAAAAAAAAAGATACAAAATACTAGCGATATACTAATTATTTATGATATTTAACAAATCCCTTTCTATGCTGTGAGGTAATTTTATCTCTTTAGTTTGTCTTGCATTCGTTGCTTCGTTCTAGAAAGAAGCCTTAACACACTTGAGTTAAAAATACACACCATTCCCTTTCATCTCCCATCCTCTCTCTTTCGGCCCAATGTGCACTTCGACTAAACACTCAAACATAAGCAAACACACACACACACACACTCGGGCGTACATATGAAATGAGTGCGCGCGAACGACGACTGACAGCGAAAGCGACGGCAATTCTTGCGCTGCTATTTTCACACCCAGAGTCAAAGCCAGAGTCGGAGCGCAGCGAGAGACGCTGCGCGCCTGCTAATTTGCGGACAAAATTTGAGCAGATCCGCTCACAAAAAACGTTATTATAAAACATATGAACTGAAACTAAACCACTGAATAGTGCAGCAGGGGCAAGAAGTTCCACAACGTTCCAGTATTGGGCCGGGCCGGGACGGGCTGTGTCAGACTGGTCCGTACTGGCAATGGCTGCTACTGCTCTGTAGTGGCTGTGGCTCCCATGGGGAAGCTCCACTTCGTGAACCACCCATTCCAATTGGAAACAGTCGGCACCAGAGCCCGAAATCACATGGGAAAAATCCCCAACTGGTATTTTAAGCAGGCGCGCAGCTCTAACGGCACACCGCGCACCAAAGAGTTCGGTGATGGGGCTCTGTGGCCGCAGAGTGCAGCAACAATAATGTGCTTGCTGGGCCGGGGCTGCGGACAGTAAGGGAAGTAATACCAGTCGTCGATAAGATAAGCAACGAGGCACTTGGACCACAGCCGAGAAACGAGATAAGCAGTAAAACAAACAAAATAAAAATACGCTGAGAATGTGGAATGTGAGTGCAATGAGGAACCAATTTTGAATTGTAAAGATTGCATTATTTTTTAACATGACACACTCAAGGCGATCGTGGAGTGGATTTGATGGGGAATTTCTGACAAGACGAGCCTTCAGCCAGAAATTGTTTCATTATGTTGGAATTCAGTCTATCGGTTTCTGATATTAGCTAATAAATAGGTGTATAGTACTTGTATTAATAGTCTGATATAAAGAACAACATAAACAGTAGTTACTTATTGTATTGAAAAGGTATTCGGAATTAAGATTAGGTTATAGTACAAGTATGTGGTATCTTGTATCTTGATTGGCTTTATTGCAAACGTTCTTCTTTATTTGTGAATTTTAAGCTTATATATTAGCTTATCACAATTATCTACTTTTGTTTTAAATTTCAGCCGATTTCATCAAAGTTCTAGGAAAACTTAGCGAAACAGAGTCACTTCAGTACTACTCCCATAAGCATAAAAATTTCGTCAACACTGTCTAGATTTTTAAAGCTACATAAACCGAACTTAGAAGGTTAGACTGGTAAGAAGACTCTCCTAATATCCACGTAACACGAGTTTATTATTATTATTATTATTTTTTTTTTATTTTGTTGTGAAATACTTAATGTACTAATCAAAAGACCAAAAAATACAACATCACGACCATCTATTATCTCATATAATGGCCATGCATCAGTGAGTTACCTATAAATATAACTGACTGATAAAAAAGTTCAGTAAAAAAGCAATGCTCAACCGGCTTTCAATCAGTTGAACGACAAACGCGCAACAGTTAAGGGCGCTTGCCAGCATTATTAATCCAACGGAAAAATTCACAGTGAGCTGCAAAATAATTGAGATCACAAGTTTAAAGAGAGAGACGGGGGCACTATTAAGAGAGCACAGCTATGAGTTTTTGTTCTTCATTAATTTTTTGGACTTGATAGTATTTTTTGTGCTTTACACTCAAACAGCTGTGGAGAGAACTTTTCTACAAATTTGCGAGCTGTTTCTTTAAATTTTTCGACTTAAATTAGCTTGCAGGGGACAGTTTATTGAAAAAACAGTTCCATTTATTAGGATGTACTAGAGAAATAGATCATTATCTGTATAGTAACGTTATTTTGAAATTGTTTTGTATTTTTTTGATAACATGCGTATGAAGAGTGTTCGCTTGATAACAAAAACAAAAAAACTTAGTGACAATGAACTAAATTAGTTTTGTTTCTATCTACGATGAGTGGCTACTTGAAAATATGGCTTGTGAAGTCGTTGAATTGGGAGTTATAAAAAAAAATTATATGTATATACTAGATGTGCCTCACTAAAACGTAACATTTAGTTGCTGCCTAGCTCTATTTTTTTTAGTTAGTATGAAAATTGAATTCGCTTAAATAATCTGATTCATTGGGAAACTAAAAGCATAGGCTCTTCAAAAACTCTAAAAAATAAGAATCACATTGCGAATTGTTGTGAAATTAAATATACTTGTAAAACCGAAAGTGTCAACATTTAATTAACAGCCAAACACTGTCATTTAGAAATATACTCTTTCCTTTGTCTTATACTGCAGACTAGACTCGCACTTAGAAGAGAATTGAAACTAAATCGTAAATTAAAAGAGCAGCTCAGCACATCAACAATCCACTCAGTATTTACTTCTTGGCAGTGTGTGCGTGTGTTTGTGTGAAAAATGCTAAACAGGTTCAGAAGTTTATCGTCAAGACTGGCAACGGGCCATGGCCAACTCCTGACTGAGAATTTGTTTAACTTGAGGTGCGTTTGCTCAGTTGTTCTTCAGACGTGGCTTCAGACACAACGTCCGTTGGTTTTTAGTTTCGAAAACTGTTTAAAATGAAGCTCTTTTGTGCATTTCTCTTCGCTTTACTAGTATCTTATAATGAGGCTTCACTTTTGCGCAGTTCGAAGAACAAAAACATGTCCAGCGGCAAAGCCTTCAAAGTGTTAGTGACACACCCGGAAGTGCCTCAGGCGGGACTGGACCTCTTGAAGCAAAACTGCGAAATCATTCAAGTACAGAGTTTGCCTCCGCGTCGTGCCGAGATTTTGGAAAAAATCAAAGGAGTCGACGGGGTGTTCTGGGGCGGACATGAACCGCTCAATGCTGAGGTACTCGATGCCGCGGGTCCGAATTTGAAGGCGATCTCAACGATGTCCGCGGGCATAGATTATGTCGATGTGGCGGAGCTAAAGAAACGCAACATACCTTTGGGCCACACGCCCACGGTTCTCAACACGGCCGTCGCTGATCTGACTGTGGGTTTGCTTATAGCCGCCGCCCGTCGTTTCCATGAGGGACGTAGTAAGATCGAGAGGTAATTAGAGCACTAAGAGCACTGTTTTCAAGATTTCCCTATAAATATCGGTTATGGGTTTGCAGCAACAACTGGGAAAGCTTTCATTTAAATTGGCTTTTGGGTCAGGACATTCGAGACTCCACGGTTGGCTTCTTTGGCTTTGGCGGGATCGGTCAGGCGATAGCCAAACGTTTGTCCGGCTTTGACATTGAACAGGTTCTGTACACCACGCGTCGCCGTTTGTCCAAGGAACTGGAAACCGAGTTCAATGCCAAAAAGGTGGAGTTCGATGAGCTGCTTTCTAAGAGCGACTTCATCATTATTGCAGCTCCGCTGACACCTGAAACACAAGGAATCTTCAATGCCACCACCTTCGGCAAGATGAAGAGCAATGCCGTGCTGATCAACATTGGACGTGGCAGTAAGTTTTCTAGTGTAGAGTATGTGTATAATTGGGGATCTAACTTTGTTTCTCATTTGTAGAAATCATTAATCAGAACGATTTGTACGACGCGCTGAAGACAAACCAAATATTTTCCGCTGGCTTGGATGTGACAGATCCGGAACCACTGCCCGCCAATGACAAGTTGTTGACGCTTCCCAATCTAGGTAGGTTCGAAAGTATTTCTTATATACCTATTGAGTTTATTGCGATTGCAATCAGTTCGCAAAATTTTAATCTAAAAAAAAGCTATAATTCGCAATGTTTGCCATTCTTATCGCCAATAATGCTATAGGTAGCGAAAACTGACTTATAAAACCGATTTTTACAGTTCGGTTCGCTTATGAAGAATTATTCTAAAATTCAGCTTTTTTATCGAGGAGTAATTAAATTAATTTTTTTCAGAAGATTTATTTTTGTTGTTAGATTTTGTTAAACTTTAGCATTATTATTTTTTTATTCATTTAAAAAAGTTAATTCTGGTGCTACAAGTAACAGGGTTTTGAGGTCCTATACTATACTAATGATTATTATTTCTAAATTATTATTCTGATTATTATTTCTGATAAGCTAGTTTCGAATCTATCACAAATAAATAAAGTAGAACATTTTGTATGATACAAGTACAATAAAGCAAGTGTTAACTCGAGATAAGTTGAATGCGTGACCGTGAAATCAAATAATAATGTTAACGGTCACCCTTATACGACCTTGACATAACACCCAAAAAAGTCGCCACCCAAAGCTCTCATAATTTTCGCACTCTAAGTGCTTATCAAAGTGGCGTCATTAAATCTTTATCTGCCTCTCCACCACATTTACTTGTACTTGTATTTAACATTTTTGCACATTTCACAGTTGTTATTCCCCACCTTGGCTCCGCGACGACCCGCACACGCTCTGAGATGTCCACCATAGCGGCCCACAATGTGCTGCGCGGCATGGTGGGCGAACCTATGTTTGCGCCCGCCTACTAGGAACAGAAAGGCCGACCGCGGACTAAGCACACAGAATGTGAAGGGAAGGTGTGTTTGTGTGTGTGTGTTGGCGCCGTTCATGGTCATGGATAGGAACAACAACAACAATAAAAATGATTAAATTAATTAAACAATCCCACACCGACTGAGTCTCATTTAAATACAATGTTTGAGAATCTTTTTAGCTACAAATATGCAAAACCAAAGCATAAGAGCGCGCGCAAGCTTTTTTAAGAGCGCATTAAGGAAATAGTGAGAAAAAGAGAGGGAGAGGCCGAGTGGCTATCATGCCAGAGCAGTGATGCCAAAAGAGAGTGAAGTCAATCTTAAATGCTGCAATTCCAAATACAGAGGTGAATAATTTAAATATATGTCTAGAAAAGACAGAATTACCGAAATTTCCGTTCCCTATTTAAAAAAGAACCAGCTTTGAACAAAAAATAGCCAAACTAGCTTCTTCAATAGAGCAAATGTCGTTTCCAATTTTAAAAGCTTAAATTGTTATTTGTATGCTGCAGCCGGTCGCGATTTTCATATTGTGTGTGCGAGTGCTGAAAAGCTCAGCGAAAGCTTTCAGATAGGAAGGTGACAAAACATCAATACAGTGAAAACCGGGCCGGATACTAACGGTCGGCCAATTTTTGTCCGCCCAAGGGGATACTTAAATACTATATACACCGATCGAATGTTTTAGAAGAGAGTGCCCCGATAAAAGAGGTGTCCGTTAAGGGAGTTTTCACTGTATATCGTCCGTCGCTTTTTCACACCATACATGTTTTCCAAATTTCCATGTTTGCGATTTGTTGTTGAATGTTCGCCTGCACTGAAAGCTCCCAGTGGCGAACTGAACAAATGACTGGATAATGGGCCAGGAACTTTACGACTCTATGACAATCTATGAATAAAATCCTTTCTGAAATGGACGGTGCGTTTTATATACCATTTTGTTTTTATTTATTTAAGTTTGCCGCTAGTTCAAGGCTCATTTTTGGTCTTCTTGGAAGAAAACGCACATTGTCGAAAGATAAATAGCAAAACCAGAAGGAATTCTAGAGTCGAGTGGACTCAGCTCTATTACCATTTGGGAACCGGGTATAAAAAATATACTTAGCCCAGCAAAGACAAGGACAGCTAGTATTATATAATCATTTCTGTGTGATATATTCTTTATATTTAATGGTTACAAAGTTTATTCATTTTACATGCGATACATATCTTGACCATTCAGGGCCTGCAATTAATTACGAGGCACAGAATGTGGCAACACCGCGCACCTATAATACATTTAATAAAGGAATAGGGAATAATATATAATTCGAGTTTAAAACAATTATTTACTTAAGCCAAAACAAACAGCAAAATAGGTGTAGACCAACTCATTTTTCTACAATAAACTAAGAACATTCAGATTGAACATGACTTTTAAACAGATCATTTCGTAATACCATTCTAAATTACATTTTCCACACAATCCACATTTATAACAACTTAATGATGTAAGTATGATGTTCGGATCCACAAGAAATTAAAACTTAAGTTTCTGCACTTGTTTAACTGTTTCAACAGTGCTATGTCCTTAGGGTTATTATTCATACATTCATATTAAGTTTCCTTGCAGAAATAAAATGTAAATTTTAAATAACATTTTTGAAAATCCAATTAGCAACTGAACTTGTGATTCTAAAACTAGCCCTAATAAGCTGTGAGTCTTTAGCAGAGGTTTTCGGTTGCGCTGCACCTGGTTGCCAAATAATCCTTAACATAAAAAGAGCGGAAGAATTTCTGTGTGCTATGTTCTTTTTATTTTATGGTCACAAAGTTTATTCATTTTATTTTTACAAATGCTTTTCCATATATTCGATACATATGTGATACATATCTTGACCATTCAGGGCCTGCAATCAATTACGGGGCACGTAATGTGGCAGCAGCGAGCACCTAAAATACATTTCATAAAAGAAAAGAAGAGGAAAAAATATAATTTGAGTTTAAAACAAATACTCACTTAGGCCCAAAACAAACAGCAAAATAGGTGTAGTCCAAGCCATATTTCTAAAATAAACTAAGAAAATGCAGATTGACGGGACTTTTAAACAGATCATATCGTAATACCATTCTAAATTACATTTACCACACAATCGACGTTTATAATAACTTAATAAGGTATGTCGGATTCACAATAAATTTAAACTTCCGCATTCGTTTTCAAACTTGTTCTACCTGACCTGACAATGTTTTAAACTTTTTTATACTCTGTACCTGTATAAAGTGAAAAATGTAACAGGCCACAACCACATTTTCTATTTCCAAATTTTCGGCCCTCGCTATTAGTGACATTACATAACTTACGTAATTTTTGGAAAAGTTTCTTTGCTTATATACGTTTTTTTGTGTTTTGTTCTTTTCTATATTAGTTTTGTTGTTATTATTGTGATGTTTAGTAAGCAGTCCCCGCATATTCTCATTATGAAGTATCAGAGCAGAGGATTGATTTAATTTTTTGGAGAAGACTGAAGAAGACAAGAATTTCGAAACCAAAATATCAGCAGCAAGTTTTCTTTGCACGCCTAAGCGTATGCTACAAAAAAAGAAGTTTGTTATATCGCTCTTCTAAATGTTAAGCAGCGCTGTTAATTAACAGTTCAATGTTAGAGCGCTGCTGTTGTGGTTGCTGTGTGCAATTAATTAGAACTATAAATGATTAATTTAATTAATATAATCTTACATCCATGGTTTCTTGACAAAATCTAACAGCAGTTTAATATTTTAAGAAAAAATAGCCAATGACAATAGTTAGGCATGGTTTCCTACATTTATTGGTATTATTTGGATCAAATTTTGTGTTTTGTGTTTTGAAATAACTTTTCCTCCCTCCCTTTTATTAAAGCATTTAAAGCAGAAAAAAAGACAAAGCTTTTATTGATTTTCTTTCACGTCCGCCCAGCCACTTGGATGCTGAAATCAGTTTAATGTTTACTGCATTGAATCGAAGATAGGACAAGGACAAAGGGACAGCCAACAGGGACAAGGACAAAGCTACAGACAGGACATGCACGGCTAGGAATGCTGCTGTTATTGTGCCACATTGGAATGTACAAGGTTCGCAAGGTTAGGGTTGAAAAGCAATCATAAGGTTAACATATGGTCGCTGGAAGCTCCAACTGCAGCTTTCACTGGAAGGTCAAAGCTTTTGGAAAACGGCGCGTACAGGCTAAGAAATATTTAGAAAACATAAGAAGTAGTTAAGGAGAATTATAATATTTTTGTATTATAAGATTTCATTATTTAAAACCTTTTATCAACAACTTTTTTTTAATAATCAATATTAAATGTAAGCTGCTTTATCACAGCTGATAGCAAAGCTGCAAAGCTTTTGCTTCGAGGAATTTTTGTAGCGCCCGAGCTTGTCAGTTTTCCTTTGCATTTTCCATTGGTTTACATTTGGTGCGCATTATTATTTTTTGAATTTTCCTTCTAAAAAAAACGGCAACAATTAAAAAGAAAATATACGAAAGTTTAAATTACAATTACATTTTATTAGTTTCTTCTACGCAGTTCAATTATAATTAAACAAAAGCTGAGGCACAATGGACTAATTTGAATGTAAAAAATTGATGCAGCGTGTAAAAAAAATCAATAAATGTGTTAAATTTGTAAACAGTGCCAGGCCCAGTTAACTGACAAGCCCCTTCCCCCACCCCAAGCAGCTAATGTGAAATGAAATATAGTGGGACTGGAGAAAACAATTAGCGCTACTGAAACGAATCCGCAATCCAACATCATCTTCAAAACTTTTTGTACCGCAAATCAGCGACCGTTACGCCTTGCAAATGTTATTAAACCGATTTATTCCGGCGCTAGTACTCGTGCTGGGCCGGTTGTCGGCTTCGGTGGCAGGTGGAGCTGGCCAGCCCGAGTTTGCAGTCGCCCCTGAAGCCAACGTCGATGTCACGCATCGTCTGGCAAAGCGAATGGATCTGGAGTCTTGCATAGGTAAGCCGTGTCTATGAAGACATTAGCTGTGGCTCTAATGGCCAACAATGGCGCCAACAATCTCCCCCGAACAGGCCACTTCGATGTCCACAAGAACACAATTATACGGACGGGCGAGTCCCAAGCAATTGGTGGCAAGTATCTGCAAGGCCTCGAGCTGGACACCATCGAGGAGTGCGAGCGTCTCTGCTGCGAGACGGACTCCTGTGATGTCTACATTTTCGAACGCAAGGCGGGCGGCTATTGTTATCTCTTCGAGTGTGGACCACCGGAGAATTTTCACTGCAAGTTTACGAGGCATGCCAATTATACGAGTGCAGTGCTGACGCCACAGGTGCGCCACGCCCCCGAACCGGCGAGCACCCCGCGGCCCCAACTGCCACACATACCCAGCAACAACATATCACAGCAGGAGTGGGAGCTCACAAATTTGAAACTGAAACCGGAAGTGCGCGACAAGTCCGCTCCACCTGACAATGCAGCGGTCCTAACCGCTTCGGTGGTGGCAGCATCGACGGGGGCGGCGGCGTCAACCAACCAGTTGGTAGGTCTGGGAGCGCCACACCCAGATCCGGTGGCCCAAAGCGGTATGTTTGACACAACAAAATTATTGTTGATTTAACCAGAAACTAAAGACACCATTGGGAGCTAAGCACTGAATAGAGAACACTGTTTGTTCTTAGAATTACTTAGAATTCAATTTATAGAAAAAAGAAACAATATTTATTCAAAAGCGTGTAAGTGAGAAAGTATTGGGTATAGTTTATGTGAACTTCAATTGAATTTATTAGCATTTGCTTAAGATTCATGTGATATAAATATTCTTTGAGTATTTCTTTAAAGAATAACTCAACTTGTATGTTCCTTTTTATATTCTTCATGCATGATTTAAAAGATTTGTTTCTTCTGTGCTTAATTTTCTCATTATTTCGTCATTTCTGATGCAATCAATCTTCCTATTATTAAAAATGTTTCAATCTTGTGATGAAATTATTAAACTATGTTAAAACAAGTGAACAAAAATAACAAACGAATGCATAAAATTGAACACTTTCAAATAATCCACTTAATAATATTAAACCAAATATAGACTTTCCACAAACGTTAGAATTTCAACTTCAAATCGAACAGAGTCTTAATAGAATCTAACAAAGCTACAATAATATCAATAATAATATTGGCTATACTTCATTATTGAATTGTTCTGGCAGAAGCATTACAGACACTTATTCAGAGTTCCTTTTGGCAGCAAACAGTCTCTTCTAGAACACTCCAGCTCAGACTTTCTAAAATGGAATCCTTGTTCCTTCTTATTCATTCTGTTGAAAGTTTCTTTCGATAATTGTTTCTTTCAACTATTCGACGCTTTTCTAAAGATAACAAAAGACTTAGAATTTGAATTGTGAAGCTCATATGATGCTCCCCACTATCTATCAGTCTATTCCATCACATACCCTATCTGTCTATTCAAATGTCTAATCTAACTGTCTAGTCTAATTGTCTAGTCTAATTGTCTAGTCTAACTGTCTAGTCTAACTGTCTAGGCAATCTGTCGTCATGATAAGGCGTTTTTTTTAATCGATTAAGTAACACCTAGTAGACTGATTTGTACAGAGCTGCAATTCTTACAAAAAAAACTTTGATTTGTTTAAGCTTGAGTCTGACTTACATGTTTATCAGAAATAAATTATCATGTCAATGAGCAAGATCTTTCAAAAAAGCGCATGGCTAGAAGAAACGCCAAGCTCCACAGCTCATTATACATACACCTAATTCTGTTTTTACACGGTCTTTTTTACACGATTTTGATATAACCCGGTTTGAAAATTAAAAATTGCATATATATTTCTTTAGAGATAAGGACCAACCAATTGTATGTGAAATAGCGAAGTAAAAGCTACAGTTTAAGAAAATCACTATTCTTTTAGACTTCTAGAATAAACGACACTGGTCTTTAGATTCATTCAAACAATCGGTGCAGCTATATATTTCCCAAATTTTACTTTCCCTTCATTTTACAGCGCCATTAGCGCCACATTGTGGACGGTTTCAGTTCAGCTGCCACTCGGGGGAATGCATTGCCGTTTATAATGCCTGCGATGGCATTCCACAATGCGAAGATGGCAGCGATGAGGGACCGGAAGTAAGTTTTCGCATCCCCCGCCAACTCTCTTATTTATTTATTATTTAATTAATAACTTGTGAAATGTTCATTTTGCAGTGCAATGCTATTGCATCGAATCCAACCAAAGGCAGCAGCAACGGCAACAATAACAACAACAATGTTGCAGCATCGAAGCCAATTAATGCTGCACAGTATCAGTCACAATCCGTCGCAAGCATGCAACAACAGTTGCAGGCCGCACAGCCGCAGCAACAACAGCAACAATTACCAATCATAGTCGCTCATTCCATTGCGCCCGGCCCCCCACCGCCGCCTCCACCGCCACCTCCCGTCGTCAATAACAGAGAAGATGCTGCCGCCTGGGCGAACCGAAAACTTATTACCGACGCCCAACAGCAACAACAACAACAGCCACCACAAATGCAGGCGCAGGGGGAAATATTGAACGCAGGTAAGTACGATTCTCAAAATCGATTTCGATTCTCAGTTTTAAAAAACCATTTCGATTTAAAAGTTATAGTGTTTAAGTAAAAGTTGTATCTGCTTTGTTATACAGAATATCTGAGCTTATGCAAAATATTTTAAATATTATATTCAGGAAACCAACTACAGGGAAAACTCTCTTGGCCGGACACTCACGGTCGGCCAATTTTTGTCCGCCCAAGAGGAGTGTCCGCTTAAGGGGATACTTAAATACTTTATACACCGTTGGAATGTTTTAGAAAAAGTGTCCACCAAAGGGAATGTTCGTATAAAAGAGGTGTCCATTAAGCGAGCTTTCACTGTACTTGTTCTTTCCATGTTTAATTCGCAAATCTGCTTTCCAAAAGCTTAAAAAGCAGTCTTCTTGAAAGCGTTGTTGGCTTCTTTCAATTAAGATATTCTTTAAAGGTCATACTTTAAATTAAAAGCGACTTCAACTAGCTCTGCAAGAGACTAACAATTTCTATTTTAAATGCAATGCATAATAATTATTATCATGCCATAGAGAAATGGAAGCCTTAACTCATAAATTAGTACATTAATTGCTGTAAAGTGTTCACGCAATGTTGAAAGTTTAAAACGCAACAGCAGCAGCTCCTGCTGCCAATTAGCCACGACAAATCCTTGACGGCAAGGATAAGTGGGCTGTGGATGCAGTTGACGATGGCTGGGAAAGCTGCCACTTGCAATTACATGTCAGTTTTTATTGTAGTGGTTGTTGCTGTTGTTGTGCAACTAGACAACAGAGTTAGCAACGCAATTGATTTATGAGCAGGAAGCACACTTAGAGAAACAAAAGCACATTCCATCGCTGGTTTTCAGAAATCATGTTCCACAAATGCAATTTGATTCTAGTTTACAACCACTTGGGAGTCCAAAAGCTGCACTTTAGTGCTTAAATGTTTGTAACTATTTTCTGCTATTTATATAATTTAAAGAAAATGGTAGCGCTTTAAACACAGGCATTTTTTTTTGGAATTATTATAAAAATTAGTGGAAGCTAAGACGAATTTTATGAATGAACTGTATATTCTACTCTTAATGAAAAGTCTGCCATTGTCTTCATAAATAAAGTACATTAATGTGTAACTGATATAAAATACTAAGCTAAAAATGCTTTAAAACCAACGATAAAGAACCAAGTTGATAAGAGATGCTGTATATAGATATGAATATGAATAGAAATGCTGTATAAAGATATGAATATTCGTAATCCAGCCGAAGAATAACTATAGATTGAAACAAAGAAAAAGTTGAATTTCATGTCACGTCCATGCTTCCAAAATTCTCTGTAAATTCGGGAAGAGCTCACCATTTATTTAGGACTGCTGTAAAGTCTGTAATTTGTTTTAAAAATTCCGCCAATACGTCAAGTATTCTTACAAACTTTTTTCCCTTTGAATACACTAATATTGATATTATAGTTGTGAGAAGCACGCAAGTAATTGCATTTTTCTGCACTAAAATAAGAGAAATTGGGATGAAAGCAAATTTGAAATAATAAATAAAGCAATTTATAGATAGTTTGCTTCATCTTTTTTGCATAAAAAATCGGAACTACTCATATCAAAATTCTAGCGAAATGGAATATCTTAAAAGCAAAAACAACTGCTTAAAAAACTGTTAGAAAACAGCCCAATTGTAAGCTATTGAAAGATATTGAAAATTCTTCTGCCAAAGCAGTCTTTATTTGCTGCTCCTAAGGTTTATGACTTCCCAAAATTTGGGTTCGTAGCTCTATTTGCAGAACGATTAACTATAAAAGAAACCATAAGGATCTGTTTTTTCAAGTTTTTATTCTAAATTATATTAAATCTACTTTCTTAAAACTTAACTTCAAAGTAAATGAAATAATTTAGACAGGAACATCAACATCACATAATATTTAATTTCTAATAAATCTGTGCATAAAAAAAGATATTGCATTTCAAAAAACAATCTTTTTTTTTAAGTGTATGAGTGCACGCATTTATGTTTGTGTGTGTGTCTGCTGGCAATTAATTCAATTAGTCGAGGAAATCTGTCACTCCTACTCTTCTAGATGAACTGAACAGTCACATATTCAATCACAAGGGCGGCCTTCAGCTGCAACTGGCGAACGCTCAGGGCCAGGGACAGGGCCAGGGACAGGGCCAGGAACAATTGGCGGGCTATGTGGCAGTCGCTAATGGCAACAACAACAACAACAATGCGCAGCTTGGAAGTGGCGCTTTGTATGGCATGTCGCTGCCACACACGGCCCTCTACTTAACGCCATCGCAACAACAACAGCAGCAGCAACAACAACAATTGCAATCTGTAATGCCACAAGGCATGGCCTGGCCACAAGCCGCCCAACCACAACCACAAATGTTGCCACCAGAACATCAACAGCAGCCACTTCTGCAGCAACAACAACAACAACGTACCGCCTACACTTTGGCGAATGGAGTTGGGACATCGCATCAACTGCTGCCCGCCAAGCCGATGACTGCAAATGCACCAGAGTTGCCACCACAACCGCGACCGCTGCAACCACATTCGCAACAACAAGTGTTGCTGCCAGTGCTGAATGCGGCGCCAACTCACGATAAGACGCAGTCAGTCGATGAAGACGAGTACGAGGACTATGAGGAGGAAAAGTCCACGGAGCCGCCCAAGAAGAAGGTAAGCAACAATTTTTACATTCTAAAAACCCTATAAATACTACAAAAAAGGCTAAAAAAAAATGTCAGCATTTTGTGCTTTAATTTGTTAGAGCTGCCCTTTTTTCCATTTACATAAAAAATTTATTTAGAGAAAATACTTGTAGTTCACATCTCAAAATGTATTTTATATTTGTAGAAACAGCGCAAGCACAAAAAGGCCAAAGCCAAGAACCCTCCCACTAACACAGACTCCAAGGATCCCATAGAACTGGCTTTGGAGCAGACAAAGCAGAAAGCGCCACCAACTCTGCCGCTGGCCGCCTCGCCGGTGCACGAGCAATACAAGATGATACACGAGAATCTGGCGTTGGAGTTTCGAGATCACGACGGCCACTCAGAGCGTCCTGGAGGCGCCGTTCTATCCCTGACCATGGGACTTCTTATCACAGCCGCCTTGGCGATACTGATTGGCTGTCGAATGCGCACAGTGGGTCGACGGACACGCCGTATGGGCGGAAAGACGCCCTATTCACAGGAAGCCGATTTTCTAGTCAATGGCATGTATCTGTAGAGCCAGAGAAGGCCAAATGCTGGGCGGGCGGGTCAGATGCTGAGCTGGGGAGCTCAGCTAGTGCTATATAGTTTAATTTGAAATCATGTTCTTTAAATTGTTCGATTTTTTGTCATACCTATCTGTGCGTCCTGTATGCTATTTGTGGGGGTGTGCCATTTGTGTTTGCTAGGAATAGGATCAATATTGCTTATCTGTCATACAAATATACATATATATGTATAATTACATATTATTATGTAGTTTAAAGTAATGAATATTTAACATATTTTATATAAACAAATATATACATAAATCAATAAATACCATTAAAAAATATACTTTAAACAAATGACTTTGAAATACTTTTTATAATAAAAAAGTTTTGCTCTAAATTTTGCTCATAGAGAATTCTTCATTGGAACCTAAATGAGGCCTAACATTCTTTCAAGGATGAACGAGGGAAGGACCTAATATATTAACCTGAAGATTGAATGGCATTCGAGAAGACCTCTATTTATTGGTTAAAATACAATTTAATTTTTATAATTTATGAATTACTAGCACCATATAGTTTAAGCAAAGTCGCGGAATCGGAGAGTTCTATCTAATCAGAGAATTCTATCCTGTTTTGTGCAAATTATGTAAAAGGCAGCAGGAATCATCTCCGACCCCATAAAAGGTATATATTCTTAATCAGCATAACCATTGATTCCGAACTGCCAATAAGGGGGGAACTTCGCGTTTAAATAAAAATTAAACAGCTATAAATTGTCAAAACTGCCTGTTCTAGATATTTTCAACTGTAGCATTAATACTATTAATAGGAATTTCTGCTCTAAATAGTCTAAAGGTCCTTTATTTAATGGAAGAGAAAGCAGAGGGAAATCAAGCATTGCTTCGGTCGTCCTTCGTAGCCCATTGAAGTGCTTGCTATTAAACTATAAAAATCACTTCATAAAAAATACCACACATTTATATTTTAAATACAATTTTAATTATTCCTTTATTTTTTGTTGTTTTTGTTTTTTCATTTATTCATTTTGTTTTGTTGTTCATTTTTTATGCAATGACTCCCAAATCGTTATTAAACTCCATCTGTTTTCTTTAATATACTGACGCGACGCATTTTAATTATCATTTATATTATTTAGTAAAACTAGAAAATAATAGGAAGTATTTCGCAATTTGTGTTTTTTGTTTTTAAAATTTATAATCAACGCGAATTGTTTGCATTTCCTTTAAAATAAATACCACGCGAATATCCGAGTGTGGTGCACTCAGTTTTTTTGAAAACTCAACAAAATTCTTCGCTTACAATATCACACATTAATAAACTAAACCGAATTGTTAATACGTAAAACAAAATGTACGCGCTTGTACAAAAAAGGAAATGCTAGCACGTTTTGTTTTTTGTTTGTTGGAATTTGGAAAAGTTGATCGAAAATTTTAACATGTAAAAAGTCTTTTTTTTATACATACTGTGTCGTCAAGAATTCGTGTGAGCAGTGTTTTGAGTTGAGAGTTTGTCAGAATTACGAAATATGTTGCCCTGAATTGTTGTTTGTTAATAAATACATATGTTTAAACATATAATGTATTTGTATTTTGTTTAATTAGGCTTTGTTGACCATTCTTTTTGTGTTTTTATCTTTAGCTCTTTTCACTTAACACTGTACACATAATGTAAACTAATTGTATTAATAATGATGTATGCAGTTCGATATTTAGTTAAGATGCCAATGTGTTTTACATATGACGGTTGAGTTGAGTTCTCTGTTTAAATATTGGTAGTAAATATGCTAATAATTAATTGTTGAATAATTGCTAAGCCGAAACTAAATTCCATAGCAAATGAACCGAAATGGGTTTGAAAATATTTTACAATTTTGCGTTAATTGAAATCGTAGCGAACATTTAAATTTTGAATGGTATGGTCTATTCAAACGACTTTATAAACTTTACTCTGCTTTTTTCTTGTTATACATATTATAATTAATCGTTAATTTAATAGTTAGTGTATTTTAATATATATTTATAAAATAGACTTTTCTTTTGCATGCGAATTTTCGTTTTTTGTTGCAGTTTGTGGTACGTAATGGATGCTGAGCTTACGCATCATGTTGCGTACCTAGAAAGGGAGATTATACTCAGAAATATGTTTGCGTATCGCTATGGAGGTCCACTTACCGCTTTGTCCAAAGACGCGCAATTCGATCGTGCTCCTCTCGATTCTGCAAATATTGCGTAGCAATGCTGCCCACCAACGGATCGGCTGAAAAAACAACACGGTTTAGGGGCAAAGCGATATTAAAGGTATTTCGACTCCATCACCTACCAGGATTGCAATCTGTGAGCAGGGAACATATCGAGAGCAACACCTTTGATATGGTCAAGGCCGGCGACCAATTGTCCTTCAGTATGTCCAAGCAGATCACGCCTTGACTATTGATATTGCAGTGATAGATGCGTGTGCGAAATGTGACTTTGGGCGGTTTGAATGGATATTCGGGCGAGAAGTGTATGTCGAGGAAAAACACGCCGCCCTCATATACCGAACCGGGTGGTCCCAGAATTGTTGATACCCATTCGTACAAATTGTCTCCCTTCGGCCCTGCACTGCAGTTCGGCGGTGGATCTAGTGTGATCTCCGCGAGCTCCTTCTGTATGCGCTTGGCCGAGGTACCCAAAGCTTTTGATATTCTAGGGTTTGGCTTGGCATCCTTACGTGGCTCATCACTGCCAGCAGTCGAATTATTGCTGCCCGAGGCGACACCACCGCCAGCATTGCCACCATTCGTATTCGCACCACGGCCACGTCCTGGCGTGCCACCTGACGCATTATTCAAATTGCTGCCGCCACTCACACTGGCATTGGAGCTGGCATTGGCGGCGCTGCCCACGCCAGCTGTGGCTGCCACAGTCACGGCGCTGGAGCTGGTGGTGCTGCTGCCACTTGCAGCGGCTGGAGTCGAAGACATGCTGCTGCTGCTTCACTTGGACTGGAATTGGACGTGCTTACAGTCTTTGTAGGTGGGTCGGCCTTTCTTCACTCTCTCCCTCTCTAGGTAGGTGCCTGCAACGAAGCGTAGGTAATCGCATTATCAAGTGCTTGAAGGGCAGGTCCTTGACCCATTTGTAAAACAATCGACCAAGGCAAAAACAAGCAACGCAATTAGAAGTTTAACACATGCGCGTCCGCCCCTCTTATGGCCTTTAGGTAGACAGTATAAGAGCACTTTTTGAAAAACCCGGACGGATTAATTTTAATCACTTCTCTGTGCTAGGCAAGCGGCCATTTTTATATGCGGCGCGCAGCAAGAGCAGACCCATGGAGTTGGATGGGATGACGAAGCGTTCAAGAATTTGCAAATAGCAAGAAGAGGAGCTACTTCGATGAGCGTTTAATTTTAGCGTTGTCGTTTTACAGAAGGTCCCAGCCAGCCCCGCGTCGAAGCCAAACCAATACCAGCCAACAAACAAACAACAAAAACAATGGGCGCTCTCTACATGCGCTGCACAGTAAAAATCAATCAGCAGACATTTGCAAATGCGTTGCCGCCGTCGTCGTTCCTGCCGCGCACCACTCCGCCACTACCGACGAAAACAAAGCAAAAGGAACGATTGCACAATTTTACTTTGATACGCCAACAACTCACCAATGACGAACCCTCGTTGAACTCAAACAAAGCAATATACGCTGTTAAATGGTATAATACACACCTTTGCAACAATTCTGATTAACTTTTACGTCGCTGTCGGACTGCAAAACACTGCAAAATTCTGGCCTGTCGCGCTCTCTTTCTCACACTTCTTGAGTTGTTTTCCTTTTTGGCAATTGATTAATTGTGTCTCCTTTATTCACATGCTCTTTTGGCTTTCTTCGTGTACTTAATGTTTACTTGCCTTTTGTTTGTAGCACAAATCACAGTTAATTGTTAATATATATTCATGAAATGTATGCGGAAATTATTGGAACAAAGTGGTCGGCACACAAGCGGGCGGCCGCTAGAGCTGCAAACAATCGATGGTACTATCGATAGTACGTCGCTTAGCGGTTCTTAGAGACCCGCTGTGCCATCAGTTCATATATTCGATTATCGTGGAATTGACGATATTTTTGGCTCTACCACCGTTTAGTGTTGTAAGGTTGTTTACTTTTGAGTTGGCGGTATATGTAATTTTGTTGTTGGAGACAAATGTGGAAATTGTATTTTAAGTTTATTAATAATATTACACTATAAGTAAATACATTACAAGTTTCTCGGTGTTTACTTAGTGTCCATATCATCTACTAAAGCTTTACGGGACTTATAAACACGGACAGTGTTGTCGGCACCGCCGGATACAATGTACTTGGGATTGGACCAGTCAATGTCCAGCACCTTTTCGCCGTGGCCCAGCAGGTCGTAAAGTGGTGCCTTTGGACTGAAAGTAAGAGGAATTGCGAATAATGCTATATTAACTAATTTGTTTGGAACTTACCTTCTGCAATCCCACATCTTGTTCTGATTGTCATAGGAACCGGAAACAAATAAAAATTCTTCCGTTGTCGACCACATAACAGTCTGCACCCAGGCATTGTGACCCAAGTATGTGTTGCGTACAACAGAGCCCTCTGCAAATGATGGATTAGTAAGCAATTTAAATAGTTTTAGTAGGTTGAGTCACTCACGATTAATGCGTGAATCGTATAGTCGCAAATTTTTGTCCGCCGAGGCAGTAACAATAAGACGATTCAGTTTTGAGTAGCTGGCGTCGAAAATGGACTTGTTTGTAGATATTTCTGTCTTAATGCCCTCCAGATTCAGGTCCCACACCTTGAGCGTATGATCCCAGCTGCCTGTGAGCAGTGTAGTGTTGTCCATCCACTGTACGGAAGAAATGCTCTCTCGATGGCCTTGTAGAGTCATTTGAGGGGTCTGCCAGAATTGGTTTAAGAGTTAGCTTAGAATAGCAAATAGGTAGATTGTTAAATAATTGCTCACTCTCGTGCCGCTTTCCTTAAGACGCTTGGAGGTGCCCTCGCCCACATCTTCCAGCTCCGCTGACCACAACTTTAGCATTGTATCCCAGGAGCCCGTGGCAAATCGTTTCTCATCTGGACTCACATTGATGCTGTCCACGCCCCGCTCATGTCCCTTGCAGACGGACACGCACTCCACAGCATTCGAGCCAATGTTCCATTGCCACAACATGGCCGTTTGGTCCTGTGAACTAGACACGAAGCAACCAGTTTCACTGTCCAGAGACACCCAATCGACGGCCTTGACAGGCATCGTATGACCAGGTATGGTAAGCACATGTTTGCCCTTGTTGGTCCAGATATTGAGGGTGTTATCGTAGCAGCCGGTTAGAATCCATTTTCCTCTCATTTTCACCGCCGACACCCAATCATCGTGCAGCAGACAATCCTGCGGTTCTGGAGCCGGAAAACGCTCAACATACTCAATCTCAATGGCGTCCTCAAAGCTGATAGCTTTCTCCTTCAGATGATCGCACAAACGACCACGCAGATATTCATCAAATACAAGAAAATCAAAGTCAACCTGAGTTGCGTTTTGCAGTAGCGCATTGATAAACGTGTTTAGCTCCGTGGTGGCGACCGTGCCATCGATGGCGTAAGGCACATCAGGCACAGCATATCTGAAATATTAAAGCTTTGATTAACTGCTGTTTTCATTTCATTACTTTATTACTTTTCTTACTGTTCTTGTTTGGTCTTTAGGTGAACCTGTACCTGCCCCTCCCCGTTAGCTGCTTCCATTACTGTTGTTGCGCACACACGTGCGTTTGATGTGTGGCGATGCGGCGAGTTAGTGTGGTTGTTGTGGTTGCAGCACGGCAGTAATTTCTGCTCTTACCTATTGACACTCACTCTTAAGAGCGCCTTTAGCTTGTTGTGCAAATAAATCGTTCGTGGAATTAGTTTAATACACAACTTTATAATTAAACCGTGTCGGTAGCAGTTATAGTACAATTGTGCGCAGAGACCTGCCAACTCATCGGAATAACCAAACTGCTGTTAAGCATGACAATTATCGGTGGCATAATATCGATAAGCAATTGACGGCATTCGTTGTTTCCTACACACCATTCAAACTATAACCGTTTTTTGAATAGTGAGTAAACAGATTTGTATACGTTTTAATAATAAAATTTAAGATTCTATAATGTTAAATGGAAATATTATTTTAATTTATTTGGTAAATTTTTGCTTGCCATTACAAATTAAATTAAATTTTGATTTACTGATACATTTATATTACATTTATAATTTATACACAATATAACGAAAACTGCAAATGTTTTGGATTTTTGTCGATAAAGACAGCTTTCTTCCACTGCTTTTGCTAAAAAGTTTATGGGAATTTCCAAAACGACAATAATTACCAAATTAAAAACAAATCAATCATTATTCATTTATGTAACACGCGAAGAAAAACAAGTAGATGAAGCACATCAAAGAGATACTGAAATTATGATAAACATTAAAAGTTAATTGTACAATAATTAAATTTGTGATTTTCTGCCAAAGCCAACCAGACGGTGCAGCTTTTGGTGTCAACTGTCTGCGACATCTTACGCAAAACGAATAACCAAGCAATAGCAAGCCAACAATTTTATTGCCATCAAATAATGGTTAATTTGGAATGCACTTAGTAAGGGTATTGTAGCTTTTTACTTTTGTTTTGATAACATGTTAAGGGGATGATTAGTCTGAGGTTGATTGGCCTTAGTATCGTTAAGATATTCCCGAGTTAAACTTAAGGCTGACAAGCGCTTGATTGGTTTCTAAGATAAATGCATTAATTTAAGTTCAACTAAAGTTGAGCGATGTAGATTGATGTTCATTTTACAATCATTTAATGTAAGAACTAAGCAACAAATTGGGAAATAATGGTATACAAACAAATAAAATAAATATCTTCCCACCAAATCGACAAACAGAATGTTGATTAGTGTATACAAAATATCTACAGTCGGAATTATCTTTGTATCAACTTGTAAATATTTCAGTAATGTTGGCTGCCGGCCATAAATGAACCAGTTAGTAAAGCCTACACTTGTTGGCCATTAAAGACCACTTTGGGACGCACTGGAAGCGGGCAGAAGGAAGGTTAAGAGCCACTTGACATTTGAGGAGCTACGTGCGTCGCTTAACCTTCATGCGAAATGGCCCATTGGATAATGAGGCATTACAAAGAGAGCAATTGCTATTTTTAAATAACAGCAGACGCCTTGAGCCAGAAAACTAAAAATATGAATACAAAAATTCACTATTACGTTAAATGAAGCGTCGGATAGCGTTTCCAGTGCCAAATTAAGTGAATTTATGATATATGTATATATTTTTTGATGGTTGTGGTTGGTGGCAAGCTAGGCAGAAACCAGTCAAATGCGTTGAGCTTTAACATTTCAACTTGCAGCGCTTTCCAAGCTTATAAAAAACTTCCAGTGCGCAGCATGGGAAGCTTATAAAATGCGCTGCGCGCCTGCGCAGACGAAACATTACAACAAAGCACGCGCGCAAGGTAAGCTCCGTCTCTAGAGAGTTCGTCCGGTTGTTTGTCAGTGCCTACGATTTGAGAAACAGATTAATATTATAAAGACGCGTTTCGCCATCTCTTGCAGTTCGCAAATCCCTCACTCACACACACACACACATCGAAATGAAAGTGTTCGCGCTATGCACGCTGCTTGCCCTGATGGCGACCCTTGTTCAGTGTTTGCCGCAACAGCGTGAGGGGGCGGCGTATACGAACGAGGCCATCCGGCAGGCGCAACAGACCTTCCTGATACCGAAGGATGCACAGATACAGAATGTCCAGGAGGGCATCGAGCTGGGCGCCTACGAGCAAATACCCGGCAACCAGCGCATCAATCTCTTCGAAATATTGGGCGATCAGGTGCCATCGGAGGTGATAAACAATCTGCAGGCGCAGGTCGATCAGATTGGCCGTAACTAAGTTAAGTCACATCGTAAATCATTAATTTGCATTTGTTAAATTTTATGTTGAGCGGATGAAAACAAAAGAAATAGCAAATAAAAAAAAACTCACCACTTATTTAAGTATCAGAAAACAAAACGTACTCGTAACAGCCAATATATTATGACTTCCTCCTCCTCCTCTATACCCACAGACCAAGCGAAAGTGTTTGATCCTCAGCAGAAAAGCAAAACCACAACCAAAAACCAAACACCAAACACCAAAACCACAACACAATAAAAACCAGTTGCTTCCTCAAATCCAATGAATCGGGCCGCTTATCATGTTGGCCATGTGTCTGTCTGTCTGTCTGTCTGTCTGTCTAAGTCTACGCTCACTTTCTCCCACAAATCCCGCTGCGCATACAAATTAGCAAATGCCGAAAGTCTCCGACGCGCAAATGTATCCTCAACCTTGTTATGTAATCCAAAGCCCCCAACTGCTTACACTGTTCAGTCTGCTCATTTGTGCATTACAGTTCAATTCATTTGTGGTTACTTTTATTTTCTTGGTAACCTGAAGCGCTGAAGCACTTGTGGCAACATTGTTGGGCGCCCGGGCCAGCAACTTTTCTTCTTCTTCTTGTTGTTGTTGTTGTTGTTGTTGTTGTCGTCGTCGCTGTGATGCAACAATTGTCGTCGTGATTGCTGACTGCCTTTTGTTCATTTAATTTCGTGGTAATTGTTGCCGCATGCACTTGCATATGTAATTAGGTTTCAATTTAGGTGTGTCTCTCGCCGATTGCACAATCACCCGAAAAGGGACAGGTGTAAAGACTCTTCTTCTTCTTCACCAGATATTTTGCACCATTAAGTTCATAATTGATATTTTATGAATGCCTTAAAAGTCGTTTAACCGTCTTAATAGATTTCTTATTTTGCATAAAGCTTATGTTAGGGCTTCTGATTGGTTGCCGATTCTCCCAAGTTTATTTCATAATCTATCATTGCAGAGAGTATAATATTAATATTATTATATGTATTATATATTAATATTATTCATATAATATTATTATTATTCTCCTAAGTTTATTTCATAATCTATCATTGCAGGGAGTAAGATTTTAATTGTAGGTCTATAAATGCCTAATAAGCAATTTTGTAGACATTTGGATTCTGAAAACGAACTAAGGTTGGTACCTAAGTACATAAGTATATGAACAGTTTGTTCATTTCCAATTTCTAATAAATAAGCCATTCATTATTTTGTGAAGTAAGTCTTGACACTGATTCACGCCCTATATTTAGTTGTTATTGATTGGAGACAATGAAAAATTGACACTGTTAAAAAGAAAGTGTTGTCAGAGATTGAGCGTTTCATTTTATTTAAAAAAATGTTATACGAAATTTTATAGAGTTTGTATGTTCGTTAATAAAATTTAGAAAACAAGTTTAAGTAAAACATTTCTCACGGACCATGCAAATTATTGCATTATTCCTTTCCGCCTTTTATTGGTTTTAGACTCTGAAGAAAAACTTGATTATTTCATAAAGAAGCTTCATCATCTATTGGCAATAATTGCAGTCTTCAGTTTTTTTGAGTTTTATTATATTGGCAATTTATTGGTTAAGCCATAACTCAGTATAATGCCCTACAAACTCTCCATAGATCCGGAAAACAGGCCAGCCAGCACATAATTTGGATAGAGACATAATCCAAGAGGCGTTTTTCTTTACTGCTTATATAAATACGAGGGTTATGCTGTTGAAAAATTAATGGCAGCTTTCATTTAAAAATAATCCACACTATTGCTTTATTTATATCTATTACGACAAGTCATTTACTTGTATATTCATACATATGTACATATATGTGCAACTTTATAACCAAAAAATGTCAATTCCTATTCATCTATTTATTACATTGCTTTTGTTGTTCGTAATTAATTGCAAGAAAAAGATTTTAAAGATAAGCTTAATAAGACAAAGAACCTCCAAATGTAAAATTTATTTAAAAAATACAACTTTTTTTTAAACTCGCGTTCCAGTAAAGATTTGCATACATAATTAATAAGAAATAATTGTAAGATCTACTAATAATTAAGAGGACCAATATCTGTAGTAAATAGAAAGGCTTCCCACTTCTTGTTCTACTCATAAAGAACTCCTATAAAAATATATTAAAAGCACTCCACACATACAAATAAAATCCTACCACCTTACAGCATTTCTTTGTTCCACTTTTTATTTGTATTTTTATTTTTTTATATTTTTAATAATACATATGAAAAAGTTGTTTAATCTAAATTTACGCTAATACAATATATTTGATGTTTCATATATTAACCATATAGTATAATGTGCGCAATATGTTGTAATTATAATTAAATATTTCATTTGCTTAACCTAATTATTTTTATTATAATTATTATTAGCCTATGCAGTGTGTACATTTATATAAAATTATTATTATTTTTATTTTTTATATATACTTTGTAGTGCAAATTTAAAAACTAACTAGGAAATGACTTTAGTTTTGACACTTTCTGTTAGTTTCAAGCAAAAACGCAAAATATATTATAATAAGCATTTATGAAAATGTAATTTTTTAAGATTAGAATTAAAATAATTGCTTTAAATTAAAACTTTCATATTCAGTCTAAACTTAAAAGCTTTTCAAATCGAGAAGGACTATGATTTGCATTCAAAAACCATCACTAAGTTGCGTTTTAAATATTCTCATCATGCTTTCATTTATTTTGTTTTCGTTTTATGCAGTAAATTAAATATTAAATAAAATTATAGTTTATAACACGAGCACAAAATGAAAAAAATTAAATGACATGTGTGAAATGTTGCGTGGGCGTGAAATGAGGACGTGTTTCAATTATAAATTATGCAAATAAATAAAATATAACTACGAGTAAGCCAATATATATTTTGTAAGTATAGCGCAATAAATAATGGATTATTGCAATTTGGGAGCCCAGCTTTTTGAAATTCTTCTCATTGTAATTTAATTTATTTAATTTTTGTTTAAATTCGAACTAATTAAATTGTAGAAGCAAAGACGTCCATTTCGAAACTAACTGTTTTAACACTATTTTTTGGTGTTACAAGTAATTTAGATCGAATTTGAAAGTTAAATAAATTCCAATCAAGACTTGAATAGAAATAGAACGGGGAACTGGCTGCTCTCTTCTTTTTTTTTTTTGGAAACTTTGCAACATTTAAATTAGTTTACATAATCATAATAATATAATTTCGGTTTTAGCTTAATAGATGCGATTTCCACATACATTATAGATAGATAGATTTATGTCTGCAGTCTACTTATTGAAAGAATGTTCAATGCCTTTACTTTTCTCACTACTTAGCTTAACTTTTGGACTTTTCGTCCACTTCGCTGCTGGGATATAGACGTTTGATCCCACAGTTAAAGTGGCAAAAGTATTGTATATGTAGTATATATGTACACCATTTTGTTGTTGTGGTTATCATTACTATATTGTTGTTGGAGCTATTGGAGTTGGAGTTGGGGCCGCTCAGTAGACTCGCTGTAGGTAGAGGCGTTCGAGGCGAGTGCCCGTTCGCTCGACGAAACTCTTTTCAGCTCTCGTCGTGGCCTTGTCAGCGGTATTTGTCTTGGCCACATTGTCGCCATGTTCCTGACTCTCATCCAATTTCACGCTCTCTGCATCTGCCTTGGGATCGGCACCGATGGCACCACCACCACCACCACCGCCCGAGCCCAGCTCATCAATGTCCAGCGAGGTGGCGTGTGCGGGTCCCGGCGTGGTTGGCTCGCGTTGGCGTTGCGTGGAAGAGCCGGAGTTGGCCAGCTCTCCACTGCCACTGCCACTGCCCAGCAGCGCTTCCAAGGATTCCGGTTCTAGGGAGACCTCGCCACTGGTCTCATTATCGCCAGTCTTGCGACTAATCTTGTCCAGCAGCTGCGCATCGCTCGCATTCTGCAGGCGCTGCACCTCCACGCTGCTATCTTCCGCACTGTACATCAGCGGCACAATGGCCACAAATTTGGTCTGCATGGAGCTGGCAGCGGCTGTGAGGCTGCTCATGGTAGTGGAGCTATAGAGTTCCATGTCGCCGCTGCCTCCGCCACTGCCGGCGCCGCTGCCATCGAGTGTGCTCTCTGGCAGCCTCTTGTTGTGTTTGGGCAGCTCGAAGGCACCGATAATGGTGCGCGGCTCATCCTTGGTGTCGGCCTCGGCTATGTCTTCGAGCTCCACCAGCGGAAAGTTCACATCGCGCAGACTGAAGTCGTCGCCCGGCAGTGAGGGATAGGCGGGATTCGATTCAACCTGTGGCACCTCATCCTCCACATCCAGATGCAGTGGCATGGCCGGACTGGTGGATACTTCCACTCTACTGGCTGGTGCATCTGTGCTCAGCTCCAATCTAGTCGTGCTGCCAACAGTGGTTGCTGTGGCTGCCGTTGTTGGCGCATCTGTGCTCAGCTGCCGCTCTGTGCTGCCACTGCTGGCTGGTCCCGCTGTGGTGCTTATAATGTGATAGATATTGTCACTGCCAGCCGTATCCGGCTCCAACTCTGTCTGTGTGCTGTCTAGCAATGCCTCGCCGAAGCCAGTCTGTACGAAGGCTGCTTCCTCTGCCAAGCCAACGGCTGCTCCATTGTCGAAAGCTTTGGTGCTGGACTCGGTCAGCATGCCCTCGGTAGTGTATTCCCGCTTGATGTTCACCTTGCTGGGATCGTTTTCGGCCAGGGGCTGCAGTCCGTCCGCCTTGTAGGTGACCAGCGGCTTCGTTTTGGCCACATTGGCCACCAAAGGCCGCTCAATGTAGCCCACCGAGGCAATGAGCTTTAAGTTTTCGCCGTTCGAGCTGTTGTTGTTGCTGCTGCTGGCTGGAAGTGCTTTCAGGTTTGTGTCCAGGCTGTCAGCCAGCGTGGTGTTTGTCGACGCTACAGCAGTTGTTGGTGTTGCTGTCGTTGCTGTTGCCGATGTTCCACCAACAACTATTGCTGCTGCTGCTGCTGCCGCCGGTGCCGGTGCTGTTGTTGTTGCCGCCACAGTGCTTGTTGCTTGTTGCACTGTGCTGACTCTAGTTGTTGTTGTAGTGCTAGCTTGCGTGCTCGTTGCTGTTGCTATTGTTGCAGTTGTTGTTGTAGCGGGAGTAGTGCTGCTTATTACTGCTGCCGCTCCAGTGGCCGTCGTAGCCGACTCTGTTGTCGCCGACTTACGCATCGGTATAGCCGGCTTCGACTTGTTCTCATCCGTTATGCGTATTTCGGTCGGCTTCGTAATCTCCTTGATGGTGATGTTCCAATTGAACCCCGCTGGTGGCGCCACAGCCGAAGGCTTGGCGGTGCTTGTTGTTGTGCTGCTCGCATCCAGCGCCAATGGCGGATTGTTGTCCAGTACTGCAATGGATAGCAATGGCAATTTGAATTAGAATTGAAAACCAATACCTTGATTAGTCACACTCACTTGGACAATTATCGTATTCGGGGCAGCAGCGACCAGCCACATACTTGGGCATACAATCGTCGCGACGGAAACACGTCACAGAGCTGCAAACAATCTCGCCACCTGCAACACAAAATCACACAAAAGCGGATAAAACTTGATGCTTTTCGTTAGGGAGGTGGGGGCAGTGGAATGCCTTTGAAATCAAAATCTAGAAATGTCTAAAGCTTAATAATAAAATGTTATACTGCAAATCTGAATAAATTGGTCAGCTTTTGTTTAAATACAGCATTTTAAATATGATAAAGTAGGTTTAAGGAAGAGACTTTTATTAAAAAACAATATCTTAAGTAATAAAATGTATAAATAATAATTTAAAGAAGAAAATCTGCAAATGAAAAAGTATGTTCTAAGTTCTTGAAATTAATTATTAATTTAAGTATAGTATTGTTATACATAGTATTTTAAAATACAGTATTTTAAGCAGACCTATATTAAAAAACAATACCTTTAGTAATAAAATATATACAAACAGAGCCTTTAATAAATAAAATAAATTCAGAAAATCTACTTGTGGAAAAGTGTGTTCTAAGTTCTTGAAATTATATTAATTTAAATATATATTTTTGATTTAAAAATAGTATTTAAATATATAGTATATTAAAATACAGCATTTTAAGCAGACTTATATTAAAAAAAAATACCTTTCGTAACAAAATATATGCAAACAGATAATAAATAATATTAATAAATATTATAATTTAGAAAATCTACTTGTGAACAAGTGTGTTTTATGTTATTCTTTTAATTAAAATTAAATTAATTTAATCAATAGATTTAAAAATATTATTTTAATATAAAATAATAACATGTATTTAAAATACAATATTTTAAAATACAGTATTTTAAACAGCTTTTTATTGAAAAACAATACCTTAAGTAATAATATATATGCCAACAGAGCCTTTAATAAATAATTTAATTTAGAAAATCTACTTATGAAGAAGTATGTTCTAAGTTCTTGAAATTATATTAATTTAAATATATATTCTAATATAATAAGTAATAAAATGTATGCCACATGTATGTATACAAATGTGTTCCAAGTTCATAAAATTAAGTACTGATTTAAACATTTATTCAATACAGCTTACTTCACTTTTGTTCACTTGCAAATACCTATTTGTCCCACTGTGCCATTTAAATGAGTGAAGATGCACTTACCTTTGCAATAGCACACGGTGCACGGCGTGTCCGGATCAACCAATTTATAACCGTTCGCATAAGTTTTGCCATCCTTTTCGCAATCTGTAAACAGGAGCAGCGACAAGAGTCAGTGGCGATTTGCATAAATGAAATGAGCTGCCACTTACCGCATTTATAATCAGGACAACAGTGTCCTGTTCTCTGTATGGCACGGCAGCTTGCTTGCTTCTCGCAATGCACCGTCGTCTCCGGCACCCAAATGCCATCCAGCAGGCATTGGCCTACAAACAATAATGGCAGATGCATAAGAATAAGAAGTAAGAGGAAGTAGTCGTACATTAGAGATCTCGCGGTTGCTTAGTTTATATGTAGTTCAGAGGTGGGTGAGAACGTGAGATTACCTTGGGGCGGTTGCTGCTGCTCCGGCAGCGATTCCGTGCTGCTGGACAACAGGACTGTTGCATCCTTTGGCATGGCCGTGACTGTCGGCAGCGAGGCGAGAATGCTGCTGTCCGTGGGAACTGTAAAGAGCACAAAAAATAAATATATTCACTAAATGAAATGGGGAGCAACAATGGCGGCAAAAAGTGCGACCCTTCCTACACAATACAGTCGCCCTCCCACTCCCACTCCCACTCCCACTCTACTATTCTATTCCTATTTGAATGAATGACATTTTGATAACAGTTGTTTGTTGTTTGCTTGTTTGTTGGTTTGTTGCTTGGTTGGTTGGTTAGTTGGTTAGTTGGCTTGTTTGCCTCTTTCTGTGCTTAAACTGAAAGGTAAAATGCCATCGAAATACGGCAAAAGTTAAATGAGTTTAGTTTTAGTTTGGTTTTTTTCTTCTCCTCGCAGCATTGTCAATTGCCCTGCAATGTCATGCCCTCACTTTCAGTTCTTACGCAGCTTTAATACAGCGTGGGTTTCTGTTCATTACTTTAACAATTTTTTGTCTTTTGCCGCAACACTCTTCAGAACCTTGTCGTCATTTAGCTTGAAAAATTGCTGCATTAATCATACGCACTGTGTGCGCTGCGTTCATTCGCCTAGCAGTGTGTGTGTGTGGGTGTGCGTTGTAGGAGTAAATTGTCCTGCTGCTTCTGCTCATTTCCACTATTTCCGCTATTGTTTGCCATGGGGTTTTCCTATTCACTAACAACATTCTTTGAATTTAACCTTAGCGTGGCGGGAAATGCACACGCAGGAAAATATTTTTAGCATTCTAATGAAAATATTTAGAAATGCAGAGAATTGTGTTAAGTCGTTAGCATTCATTCGGATGACAGCAGATTAAAAAAATAGTGTGGTATAATATGCAGCTTTATTATAGCCTTGTTCATGATTTTATAATTATTATTATTTTGGGTGCTGCCTTTTGTCGTAAATTATTATAATGAGAGAATCGCTTCTGTCAATTGAAGTTTAATTACTAAACAGATTTAATTTATAGAAAATGTTTATAAATGTCTAAAAAGTGATCAGCAGCATTTTATATAAAGAATTTATGTTATTTTGTATAGAAAATTGAATCGCACAGTACAAAATATTAAGAAGTCAGTTAAACATAGACCTTTTCTATATAAGTTTTCTCTATTTAAATTAACCTGTCCACTGACTCATATGACCTTAATTACGCTTTGAAGAGTATTTAGCAGTCATTCCTTTGACTGGGCTAACAGTTAAGCTCTGTTTTCCATTTCTATTTCTATAAATCTTCTGTGCTTGAATTAAAATCATGCTGCTTGAATAATCATCTAACCTGAACTGCTCAAAGTGCTAAAACAAGTCGCACTATTACGTCAAGCCTCATGATACTGACTTATTAAGTTGTAGACAATAAAAGAATAAAACAATTTGCTATTCATAATGTTAGTTTTGGCCATATTTGTGTATTTGTTTGTGTCACGCCTTGCTGCAGCTAACATATGTTTATAAACTTTATAAAGACTAGCATAAGTAATGCACTTGTCTGGTTTGCTTCCCCTTTTGCTTTAGTGCTGCTGGGCTTTGATTTAATTCCCTGTCTAATTTTAGCTCTGTTGCCTTCTTATGCCACAATTGAAATTGAAAACGTTAGAATTTCAGCATTCAACATATAAGTAGTATTGTAGTTCAGAATTAGCATGCTTCGCTTAAAACTGGCACTTCCTATTTGCCAGACGACGCGTCGTCGCCTGTCTTACTTGAGTCCACAGATGGGCAACAACAACGTCCATGCCTGGCACAAAATTATTATGCACATTATGTCTGACAACACCAACAACAACGACAACAACAAGAAAAGCAACAGCAACAAATGTAACGCATCACATTGCTAACACATTACATTTGTTGGAACGCGCGCGCAAAGTAATTTAAGTCGCAATCGTGAGACCGCATATTACGTATCCGCCCCGTAAGATCTTATTCAAGATTTTCTGTGTCGCTGCGCTTCTTTATAATGCTGACTGGATGACTGTCTGTAAGCATGTGCTTTTGTCTCTTCGTTAATAAGCTGACAGTTTGAGAAGAAAGACAACAAAAAAGAAGGAAAACAAAATACAAAACAATAATAACAGTCTGGTCATAAATTGTTGCCATTTGTTTCCAACGAAATGATATGTAAATTAGCTTTTGATTGTTGCTGTTTGCCTTTTTTTATCGCACATATCCGCGAATTTAATGCAAATGCAAAATGCATAAATCGTTTGAAGCTGCGCATCGTTAAATGTTCAGAAATTTCATGACTTACATTGCATCGATTATAAATAAATAAAGGCTCCGACGACCGTTACTCGATTGTCTCTCATTCTGTCCTCATTCTGATAAATGTTAAAAGCAATTGGCACACAATAAAAACACAAAAGTGTCTACCACAAAGAAATGAAATGGTTGAACACAAAACAAGGCACACCCTATTAATAATCATTAGGTGTTGGGTCTAAGGACGGGCCGAGCAACAATCCCATTGATAAATATGGCAGTTGCTACCAAAACATTGCAATAAATGTTACACTACAGCCCGTCGTCGAAAAAGACAATAACAAATCATGCAAGACATATCCAGCAAGCTGTAAACCAGACGAGGAGGCTGCCAAAGCACAGTGGGCCAGAAAGGTCAAGAAAATCAAATATGTGGCTAAATTAGAAATAATTAAAAACTGCAGAAATATTGCCGAAAGCTGACAACAAATTGAATAGCTATAGTATAAGTACATATTAATATCTTGATTTCAGCTTCTTAATTGAGTTAATATCAATATCTTTTGGTATGGTTATCGGTTATCGACAGAATTTTCTCATTTAAAAACGAATAGGTATTATTTCTATACTCAGAAAACTCGAGAGAATATACAATTTAGTTAATCTATATATAAATTTATTTTAATGCAGTACATTCATTTTTAGATTCATTTGATTGGTTTACAAAGCATAATCACTTTTAAATAAATAAATAAATAAATAAATAATAAATAATCATAATTTGAATTTTAGAAAATCGGTTTTTAATTTGCTTCAGAAATGATTAGTCAAAATTAAATACTTTTCTTATATTCAATCTCTAATTATAGTTTAAATTAAAAGATATGCATCTTTTGATAATTGTCTTGAGACAGCATTTAGAAATGAATAAAATGATTCCCATTTCTCACACGACAACTTTCCATTTTAGTCAAAATTAGTTGTAAGAGCTATCAGTATTACTATTTAACACTTAATCCCAAATAAATTTCTTATATGCAATCTGAAATCATAACTAAAATAATTGCATATGCTTTGATAGTTGTCTTGAGACAGAAGTTGGAAATGAATAAAATTATTCGCATTTCTGACACGACAGCTTCCCATTTTCTTTGTGGATTCTTTATATTCCACTCACAGTTAAGGATCTCAAAAGCAAAAGTATTCTGCCTGCTTCAGAAATCCGTAAACTATCAAGTTTAGTTACTGTGCCATGTGGAAAGTCAGCAGCTGCCTGTGGTTGCAGCTGTGGTTACCTGCGTCCTTGCCTCATTGGCCCTTTGCCAACGCTTTGACAACCTTCAGCCCCAGTCTCAGCCTCAGCCTCGACCTCAGTCTCGTCTTCAGCCAAATACTGTGGGCAGCGTGTGAATTTCTGCCGTTTATTGTCGCTTGGTATTGCCTGCCTAAGCCTAAGCCTACGCCCACACTTCATAAACAACTCAAGTTTGGCTTTCGACGATGTCGCCCGGCCATTATTAGATTGCCAGCAAGTGGCTGTCTGGGCTGCCTAGCTCTTGCCACATGCCACATGCCACTTGTGCGTTTATTGTAAACTGAAGGCAGACACACTACACCCGCAGACCGCACGAGCAGCAATAAACGAAGGTTCCGTTAAGGAAAGCTGTGGAAAGTACACTCCACACCCGATGATGCAACGAGTTTCCTGCTGCTTCTGCCACAATAACTCTTGGAGTACGACGAGTATTTGCGGTTAGTTGAACCGAGAATGCGTTTATTCATGAAGTGGTTAGTTGACATTGTTTACTCGCCAGTAAAATTAAATTAATTATTTGCGCAAACTGCAATTGCACTGAGAACTCTACTCAAACAATAAGTTGCAGTTGAAGTAGCAATTGAATTTATGTTTATTTTATTTGATTTATGAAAATTAACTGACGAGCGTAGGGCACTTTTTGTGCTTATTATCATTTGACGATGTCTAAAATAAATTGAAAATTATTTATTTATTTTAACTTTTGTAAAAAGTATTTTAACATGATAACAAAGGAATTTAGCCAAGTATTTTGTCATGCAAAAGTTTCATTTGTGCATTCAAATTTTTCAAACTAATAGGTTTTCCAAAAACGCAAAGTATTACTCGAGTATTAAAGTATTACTCCAGTATTCAAGTATTACTCTAGTATTACTGATTATTGCAAAGCATTGTCTAAGTATGTTATATGTTTATATTTTCAAATAAAAATATATATTTATAAAACTAAATAATATTTTAATAAATGCGTTTTAAAATCTTTACTCTTTTTAAGGAATTTTTGTAACTTTAATTTTTTGTTGTTTCTTTTTTTATTTCATTTAAATGAATATTTATTATTTTTTTTTATATATTTCTATGTTTTGAAATTGGCAGTTCTTGGTCAGAAATAAATATGTGTGAATATAGAAAAATGAAGTCGAGTTTTAGAGAAAATAAGCTGCCAAAAAATTAAAATACTTCACTAAGAAAGCTAGCTTGAAAATAAATGTTGATGCTCGGCTATTTAGAAAATTAAAGCCTCATTTAAGTTAGGCATTCAAGTTAGTTTTAGTTTTGAGCGCTCCTCTGTCTATGCATTCAAATACTACTTTGATAAACCACTTTTTGTTTCAGTCTCACCCAAAATTGCACAATGATGTAATCAGAACTATTAAGAAGACTTCCACCATTAGCTCACTTCCCTTCTAGATGATCAGATAGCCGACTAAGCTCTTCATTAGCGCCACCATTTCAGCACATTCAATTCACACAAATTATCTGGCAAATCGGTAAGTGAACGGACGGTTCGTCCCCACTAGAACC